GATTTTCACCTTTCGTTCTGTCACAAACTTATCCCCCGCCAGTTCCTGGAACTTTGCGCCTTCGAGAGCGAGCCACGGCGTTATCTCCAAGACGCGACCGAGGGTGTTTCAGGTTACTAATGAGTTACCAACGATCGCCTATTAACTATATCTGACTCAATTTCATTGTGTCCCGGTTGCTTTTACTATTCCCAATCTTGTTTCCAGTGTAAACCTCGCGCCGAGGGGTAGATAAGAACAGATTGAATTTCGCTAACCGCGAATTTTCATTCTGTTGCCGTCCCTAGTCCCCCGAGCCAGTGACACAACGAAAAAGTTTATCGCCACGCTTGTCTACTTATTTTATGTAAGCGTTAACGGCGTTCCCGGTTCTTTGTCGCTTATTACATAATTGGAAAGAAAAACGTCGCTACGAAAATAAAATTAAGATATACATTTTGAATATAATACGTTTTTTATTGTCCTTCTCAATGAATACGGTGTAGCATATTCGTAACCGCGTACAGTTACAGAATCACGCGTGTGAAGTTACGTGAATACATTGATGAGATATTACACGTATGCACGGTTGGGTCTGCTCAGGCCCACTGGCCTGGGTGAAAGGAAAACTGGCGTCTACCTTGTAAGCGAAACAAAGAGAGAAAGATTTTACATCGAAGCGAGTATTTTTCGTACCTATGTATGCAACGGTGGAAACAAGGAAAGCTTCCATGGAATACCTACGCATATTCACCGTGCAATGGACGGCCGTACGAACTAATATTACGTACTAGGTGCGGATATCGGTCGGTCGTGGAAAAAGTAAGAAAATCCGCGACACGCAAACAACGCGGAAGAATTTTTAGACAACGTCCCCTCTTTGTGCCGTTTCCAAACTATGTATAAAATAAACAAAGTGTACGATTAATTTTTGTCGGTACTTGATAGCAGAGTCTGATGTCTGTTACGTTCATTTATCTTCCGTTAATATCGTTTTAGAAAGTGGAGACCGTTTCCTAGTGGAAACGACCTCTCGCAATGGCTGATACGCGGGTCTTTCTACGAAACACGCTTTATTTGATAATTAAAATCTTTAGGGTCTGACCAACCACTCAAAAATTATAAATACCGATGGTGACCGTCCCCTGACGTACAATAAAATATTTGTGAAAGTATCTGATATTGGTAAAAGTGAAGAATCTTGAGAAGTAAATTGTTCACTGCTGCTGAAGGGAAAATGGTAAATGGTCTCAAAGATCGTAGGTATTGTATATGTAACTGTGCAGATCGTATACGTATCGCATACATAAATCAGTCTTATCTCCTAACCCGTGACTGATACTTTAAAAACATCAACGATACATTTATAAACGGTTATGTGATACATAAAAAATATTAGGAACATTGGTGATGTGAAAAATTAACGAACGACACGAGTAAATGTTTCCAAAACCATTTTGAATTGATTTCCATCTCTAATTAATGTACTTTTAGCGTTTCTAATGTGTGTGTTTTTCAAAAGAAATAAAGTAATCCATATTGCCACCTTCTGTTTTGCCGACATTGCAGCTGCCTTCGAGAGTCGAACGTCACACTAATTATTGGCGCGTTTAATGTGCTTTAAGTTTATTTAAAATATCAATTGATGTTTTGAATATAGAATCGAGAAATTAAAACACTTAGAAGAGCGTGTTGCGGATGAGGTTTAAATAGTAACCAGTATCCATATTGGTGTCATTATGGTGCTTGATTATTTCTAAAAATTTCCTCCATTTTCTGAGAAAGTAGCCTTATCTGTTTTCATCCCTGAAATCGTGTCGACGTTATAGCCTGACCGAGTTTCATGAAACACACTGTATACAACACGCTCAAAATAGAGCCGGCGTGTACTCGTAAGGTCATCGATCCCTCTTCCGCGTCACCTGCCATGCCTACACCTACTATCAAGGCATGTACATAATAGCATCGCGCGACAGATGAGTAGAAAATAGGTATATACACTGAAACAAACAAAAATCATTTTCCGATAAAGTATAATTCTGTTGTGTGACACTAATGATGAAAAACAGAGTTGGGTAAAATTTTCTTGAAACGTGTATTAATATGAGGCTTGAACAAATATTCAAGCAACGAAATGAAATTGTCGTTTAATTTTAATTTATTTGAGTTTAAACAGATGAACCGCTTCTTTTTCTTACAATGAAGATTCACACCGTCACACGTCGCCTAATGAGAACGGAATGACCTGCGAGATATCGATATCGATACGCTTCCCACGTTATTAGCCATTAGAACACTGCCCATCGAATACATAATTCTTTTCATAGCTATAGGTTCTCTTCGATCCGATAAAATTCGAGACAAATCGTTTCTAACTGCAAACGATTAAAACATCGATATCGTTAGCATAGAATTCTATCTCGATCAAGATTCACCCGTCACGCTTGAAACTGCGAATCGTTGAATACATTGAATAATTTTTGCGCCCATAAACAACGATGTGAGCCGTAACATTGTCACTTTTCGAAATCGTTTTATTCTTTCCATTATCGAGTTAATGCAGCTTGCCGTTGAGCGATGTCGTTGACCTGTAGCTATTCGTAACACGTTTCGATATACCCGGAGACCCAAGATGAATTTCGTAATTGTCCCGGACGTAGCGATATTTATAAATGATTTCTAGACAATCTCGATTAATTACGAGAGCCAACGTTCGAATCAATTGATACGTAGAGGTGATGTTGGGTGGTTAAAGTTACCTCCAACCTCGAACCATGTGAAAGAATCGTACGTGGAAATGGTTTGTGGAGTTTCCGAAGAAAGCAAAGCGCGAAGCCTACATTTGTCCACGCACACGAAAAAGAGCGATCTAGGTGCATTGTGGCGGATGGCATGCATGGCGTGGCGTGGCGTGGCATGGCGTGGCGTGGCGTGGCCGGTGTGCTGGATCAGAGTAGGGAGAAAAGACCTTGAGTCGCGTCACGTGACTTCGAAGGTATATACATCGGAGTTGGGTAGGGCGGTTGCAGAGGGCCTTGACCTTACCGTCGGCGCGGCGCGGCGTCGCAGCCGTAGTTGTAGCTACCAACGTCGTGGCCTCTACAAACCTCCGGGAGAACAGAGCAATACAGCTGCACGACGCTTGATGTTCGTATAATTATGCCCACTCGCGAACAGTTCTCGTTGCAACTTTTTAACCAATTTATTCGCGTAAAGGGTTCGAGTAATTTGTAACGTTATCCCAACCGAAAATCATACTCACATACATACGATTTCAATAAAATTGTTTATTAGGTTGCATCGTTCGACTGGCTGATTTATCTTGAGCTTTGAACGAAACAAGAATTCGAGAACATTTAATTTTAGATAAATTGTACTCGAAACGTCTCGACTCGTGTACAGAATGATCTACCTAATGGTTATTAGCGAGGCCATAAGACAGTATCTCTTTCTTTCCCTGGCATTTCTTGGATCAATTTTCTTCTCGATCTTTCAACTTCATCGAGAGATAACGCTCTTTAAATCGATAAGGGGAACTGAAATCCTCCGTTGTAAGCAAAGTTTCAAGACCCTCTGATTTTGTTTCAAGCGTCTTGAGAATCTCCGCGAATGTTTGGATTTTTGTGAATTGTTCGGAATATACTTGTCAAAAGGGAGAAAGCTTTGGATATGATTTCTGTGTACGATTGCGAAGGTCGTTAATCTTCACGGCAGGCAGCTCGCCTGTCTGCAGAAAAGTGTTTCCTCGTCGCAGGCATACTGTACATACCTACGTAGTACATTTGAATGCGCGTATAACGGGGAAAATAATAAAAACGAGCACTCGAGTCCCAATGACCTTGAAAAAAAAAAAACATAAAATGCTTACGCGATAACGCTAACAAATCCCTACCAATTATCAATAATTTTGAAGTATGTTGCCAAGGTCAACATTTTTTGCTACTTTATCCTATGCAACCACTGCTCGATTTTAGTTTTCGAAAGTACAGAGCAGTGCCATGTTAACACTAAAATATAGCGGGATGTACTGAAAAATTCCCCAGTGATCGCGTTGTTTGCTGCAATTTTCCTACTTCTTTGAAGCGTAGTCGACGGAACAACATAGTTGTAGATCGTAAAAGTCACTTGGTCGTAACAGAGTTCCGCTGTCCTCTGGAAATAATAATTAACTAACACGGCTAACGCGTCGCGTAGGTGTAACGGACAGGGGTTACGATTTTGTACCGGTTTTTTCCTGCTCGGTGTGTTATACCGCGTTGCGTGATCAATTATAAACAAAAGATGGGAATGTGAAGCGCGTTTACGTTTGCGCATGAAGGTCAATCGGTGGTTCTGCGAGACCGGAAGTGGACCGGCCTTGCGGGATGACCGTCAGCGCACACTAGCGGAACTTGGATGTGTGCAGCCGCTTCCACAGGCTCTTTTCGAACACTCGGTAAATGCGGCGCGGCGGCGCAACCACGATACTATTCCTTGCGATGCCGTCTTGTTGCAACTTGGCATTTTTCCATTGCAATTATTATTTCATAGTTGACCCTTGTGCAGTGGCTGGTGCAGCGATGTCGTAAAGATCCGCGCTCCGCAGCACGGGGTTACAAAAATATCGCGTAGTCGCGAAGTAGTTAAACTGAGGGTACAGGTAAAGTAAAAGATCTCGCACTTGGAGGTTCAAGATGCAGACGAGATGCTGTAGAGTTCTCCAAGTATATGATCTTTAAAAGAATTAAAAGGATCCTTAATTTGAACAACAATCTGTAAAATACAATAAATGTACAACTATTTGAATGGCTCGATACTTGTACAGCTGAAACAGCGGGATCCAATCCAGTGTCCTGATTCCATTATCCCACTGCACATAGCGAATATTAGAAATAATAATCAACACTAGTATTGACTCTTTCACCTTATACATTCCGTATAGAACGACGTTTCGATCCAATCCTAGATCTAAAAAAATGTTTGCGTTAGAATTATACGTGAATGATAAAAGATTTTAACGAGACATGATCCTCTGGTTGCAGGACACAATCGCGTCGCTTGATGTTCCATGCTCGATGCTCGAATTGGAACAAACGTGAGAAACAGATAGACCAAGCCGAAAGTTGACAGACGAATCGTGGAAACCAGTTACCTGAACCAGAGAAGTTGTTCCCAAGATGTCGCAGGGTTTCGCGACTATCCAGAGGGTCCGAGTCGTGTCACGAACGTGCGACGGGATAAGCAGCTGAGGATGTCGGAGCAAAACGGGCCCAGCGAGGGCCCAGGACCGGGCCCGGGGCCAAGTCCTGGCTGGTGGCCGGCTTCGCAGTCTTGGAAAACAAACTCCGGCGCGGCTGTTTGTTCGTCCAGCGGTTCCGCTGCTCCAGACAACTCCACCTCCGTCTCTGCATCCTGCACCACCTCTACCTCCTCTTTGGCAACTACTACTTCGGCCACTGCCTCGTCGAGCTGCTGTTCCTCGACTCCTAGCGGACACTCGTGTACGATCACCGCGGCTCGTTCCACGGAAACGGGAAAGAACGTTTCCGTCACTACGATTAATGTGCCGCCCAATCAGGACATACACGACGGTAATTGATCGAACAATGTTTTCCTGGTTACTTTCAACCTTTAAACGATCCAACATACTATTCCTATCGCCTCGTATATTTAAACGCAAAACAAACTCGCGCGAAACGAACGTTAAAAGTCGTCGCATACATATACATAACAGCGTGTATCTTCCCCAAAAAAACAGAGAGCCGAAGATGACTGTTGAATATTCCAGGCAAGGGTATCTGCAAGTATCTTGCCGGGCAAAACGGCGTGACGGTGTCCGTAGTTTCGAGCTGTGGTTCCGTGCTGGACTGCGGGAACACGAACGTTGTGTCGACGACAGGAATCGGCACCAGCACCGGCTCGCACAGCATCGGCATCGGGATTGGGGTCGGTGTCTTGGCCCAAAAGACAGAGAACGACGCCGAAGATAGCGATGGCGAGATAAGCAAGATCGATTTCCGGGGGGTGAATTTACGCACGAAAAAAAAGCGCGACGTGTTGGGCAGCGGCGAGAAAATCGGCGACGGCGACGTTGAAGATGGAAATGGTTGTTACGACGGAAACGATACGTCTCATCAACAGCCAGAGAGACCGATGTCGTGGGAAGGAGAACTTTCCGACCAGGAAATGTCTTCCAACACGATCACGAACCAAGTAAGTGCTGCTTAAGCGCGATCCTGTTTATAAAATTACTAATTAGTTTTTTGTAGAAGATTTATATACACGGTTTCATTGGACATTGGTTTCGTTCTCCTTTTCGCCACTACGATGGCTGTTATTGAGATCTTTTCCGTAGGACATGCACGAGGAGACGTCGATGGAAGGTGTCCAAGTATGCGGCGCGAGTCCCAGTCCTGTGGAGCAGAAGTTTCTCATTAAACCGGAGCCAGACTTCGGGTCCAGTCCGGGATTCGGGCTAGGTTCCTTCCACGATACAGGGTTATCTCTGGCCCACGGTCAGCAGATGCAACAGCAACAGCAGCAACAGCAACAGCAACAACAACAACGGAACATCGAGAGCCTCGAACAGACACAACAAAGCGATTTGCCTCTTCTCGTGGGGAACCTACTTGGTGGCTACAACAGCTCAACCCCAAATCATAGTCCTGTGTTAAATCCGAGGCACCATTTGACCAAGCATAGCCACACGAGATCGCAGGTGAGATCGATGTGCAACCGTATCGATGAACCTTATTTGCTCTCAGTTGTACAGCTCTGATCAATTAATAGCGGTTGTCGGTAAATGTGTAATTCGTTTCTTTTTTTGTTATTCGTCTCTTCAGGTGCCGTCTCCTGATTCCGCAATTCACTCTGCGTATAGCGTGTTTAGCTCGCCAACGCAGAGTCCCCATGCAGCTCGACACTCTGCTCTAGGAGCAGGAAGTCCAGTCCCGTCTTCGTCGCTTTCTCTCTCCCGTCACAGCTTCAACAACTCGACCTCGTCGTTATCGTTGTCGCTATCGCATTCGCTCTCGAGAAACAATTCAGACGCCTCGAGCAGCTGTTACAGCTACGGTTCTCTTAGTCCACCCACGCATTCACCCGTCCAGCAGCCAAGACATCCGCAGCATCATCAGCACCAAGTAGCCCAAGGAAGTCCGCTTCATCTACCAGCAACGGCCTCCGCTGCCGTTGCGCATCATTATTCTCCTTCCGCGCCTGGTTCCGAGCTCTCCCCCGAAGGACATGCTACTGCAGACGATCAGGAAGACTGTCGAATACCCTCGGCACCTTCTGGTATTTCCACCAGACAGCAGCTGATCAATAGTCCCTGTCCAATTTGCGGAGACAAGATCAGCGGTTTCCATTACGGAATTTTCTCTTGCGAGTCTTGCAAAGGATTCTTTAAACGCACCGTCCAGAATCGGAAGAATTATGTGTGCCTTAGAGGCGCGGGCTGTCCGGTCACTGTCGCCACCAGGAAGAAGTGCCCAGCCTGCCGTTTCGACAAGTGCCTCAACATGGGTACGTTTAGATAATTAATACACGTTCGCTACCCCTACCCTTGTTACCCGTCCAGGGCCTACTTGGCTGACATATAAAGCCCATAAGAATCCGCGTCATCCAACTTCGTTGATAGATTACATTGCCCGCTTCTAAGTGATGCCTTTAATTATCCGATCGGGAATGAATTTACTAAGTATTAGGAAAGTTACAAAAGTATTTAAATATTATGAAAATAACATAGCAGACTTATCAAAAAGAAAATTATTAGACGTAAAGTTATTTCTCAACACAAAACATTGACTACGTAGCTTGTATTAGAAAACTGTGACTTGCTGGGACTCGCGCCTAAATACGGTATCTCTAACAGGTATGAAGCTGGAGGCGATTAGGGAGGATCGTACCAGAGGTGGAAGAAGTACCTATCAGTGTACCTACACTCTTCCAGCGAGCCTCGTTGGTAGTCCAGCGTGCAGTATGACTAGCGACAAGCTAGCTGCAAGTGGAAATTGCAGTCCAGCTCCAGCTGGTAGCGAGCATCATTACTCCATCAGGCATCACTCGAATCACTCGCACAAGATGCAAGTAGTGCCGCAACTTCTACAGGATATCATGGATGTGGAGCACTTGTGGCACTACAACGATAATGATCGTATGTCTGGGATAAAAACTGAAGGAACAAACGTTGCCAGAAGTAACGATGCTATGTTATTGGGCGTCGGGTCTGGGGCCGGAAACGACGGTGGGCCAGGTATCGAATGTTCCTCGAACGGTACCACAGGAAATGGAAATCTCAGCAATACTCGGAGAGATAACAGGCCGTGCTCCACTATTCCTGGCGTCACCAACGAACAACGCAGTGCGCCTGTCAACAGCAGTCCCCAAATGACTAATAATACAAATGGCAATCCGACCCAACATCCTGATTTTCTTTCAAATCTCTGCAACATTGCTGATCATCGGCTTTACAAAATAGTCAAGTGGTGCAAGAGTTTACCGCTGTTCAAAAACATATCGATCGACGATCAAATATGTCTACTGATTAATTCCTGGTGCGAGTTACTGCTCTTCTCGTGTTGTTTTCGTAGCATGAGCACTCCCGGTGAAATTAGAGTATCTCTCGGCAAGTCGATTACTTTGGAACAGGCTAGACAACTTGGTTTAGCGACATGCATCGAGAGAATGCTCGCATTTACTAACAATCTGAGAAGGCTCAGAGTCGATCAGTATGAATACGTAGCAATGAAGGTAATTATTTTCGAATAAATTGCACTGAACATCCTTTTTTTCTTTAAAAGAGTATTTTATTTCTTATCGGTTATAATTTAAACAATCAACAAATTCGTCATATATTTTAAGTTTTTCATCCAAGAAGAGTTTAATATTAAACAATTTCTATGATTTTTATGAGAGGAAATATTGTAATACATATGTTAACATAATTAATCAGTTTTATATTGTTCCCTCATAAATTTCTGTTACATGAAGGTAATAGTGCTGTTGACCTCGGACACGAGTGAACTAAAGGAACCTGAAAAGGTTAGAGCCTCCCAGGAAAAGGCTTTACAAGCATTGCAACAGTACACCATAGCGAGGTACCCGGAAATGCCTGCTAAGTTCGGCGAACTGCTATTGAGAATTCCAGATTTGCAAAGAACATGCCAGGCGGGAAAAGAATTATTAAGTGCAAAACGTGCTGAAGGAGAAGGCAGCTCATTTAATTTGTTAATGGAACTGTTGAGAGGAGATCACTGAATTGTCACGACAATTAATAATGCCGTAAGTTTGCTAATAAACATATTATGCAGTATGTATCCTTATAAGACGGACATATTTTAGAGACTGATTCATAGCACAATAAGAAAGATTCATGAATCACTGAATAGCAGTTTGTAAACGTTTATTCGATTGCAGCATTACTCGTATACATGAAATCCATATTTACCATTCCTCGATTTAAATAACTTTCTATTATCACTTAGATGACGAACAATTATAAAACTAAGTTTTTAGGTCGGGTCTTTTTTTTCTTTTTTCAGATTCCATGCTTATAGGGTCCATAAGCTTAAGGAATCGGATATATTATAGAATCAAGAAGAAAAAATTTAGAAAGAAACTACAAACATTATAGTCCATCGTACGTTAGTTCTCGGTGAAGGGACTACATTCTTATAGAACTGATTAGAGATGGGCTATCTGCTTTATGCAAAAAGCAGATGAGAAATAACGTTTCCATCTATATTTTTTTCTTCTTTTTTTCTTATTAAAATGCTTCCACGCAGGTGTTGTATAATCCAAGCCTGCCTTGAAACACACGAATTTCGAAGCGGCCTATGGTATGCTCGAAATGTTCATCATAGATATTTCTATGCATAAGAGACTGAAAGTATAATTAAAGGAGGGATGCAGAGCATTTACTTTTACAATAATAACGATGTACAGTGAGAGCGAGCAAGAGAGAAAGCGAGAGAGCGAGAGAGAGAGAGAGCGCGAGAGAGAGAGAGAGCGAGAGAGCGAGAGAGAGAGGGTATCAAATAGCATAAAAATGCAAAATTTTATTACATAACATTCGATCTATTCAAATGAATGGCGAATACAGAGTTTTACCCTTAATGATTAATATAATGATAAAACAACCAGTATTTTGTATTGTTCTGCGCTTACTTAAGAATAAGACACTAAATGTTGTCTTATATCCCGGTAATGAAAGTGTACTTAAAATATGAGTCGACCAATTGTTTACTTATAGAACAGTTAATCATATAATAATTACACTGTCCAACACGAATTTTATTTCGCAATTACTACAGGGTAAGCCTTGTGAAGTTTCTCGTCCTAAACACGAATAAGGAATCAGAATTCCTCTGAAATTCCATAAGAGTCACCCAGTAAATATTGCAAAATATAAGAATGGCTTTTATTTGTTAGACAGTGTTATTAGTTAATAACGTCTACCTTGCATATTATCAGTGGAATATTATGGTTTTTATCTGTTACACAAATACATTTTGTGTGCTCTGTAAATGTTTTAATGGCGCACCAACGACGGATGAAAAATGTGTTATGTTGGTAAACATAAATTTTTGTTAAATACCGCAAAAAATGCTTGCGACGTTTTTTTTGTAAATAAATTTTATTTTAAAACATTTGTTTATAAAAGAAATTGAAAAAACTTTGATAAAAGTGGTGTTTATTTGTTGTAAAATTTCGTGTTTATTCTATTCTTGAAAGACTAAGATGATTTAAATTCAGTTTAACAAGTTTACGTTAAAAGTCCGTATTTTTTTTTTGTAATGAAGTTAGAATGTTAGAACCGGTGATCAGAAATTTATTTTACAAACAAATGTAAGTGAAAAATTGTTTGAAAACACACAAAGAAAAAGTACTGCGCTTTAGTCATATACTGGTGCAATTTTTAAATTCAAATAAATGCACAAATTTTTATTAAAAATCAATTACAGTATGGAGCTGGAGTCTCTAGTTTAGAAATAAGAATACTCATCTCTGTCGTTGGTACTTTAATGAGACTGTCATATCGACGCATTATTCTTTTTATTAAAGCAACAATTACATCTCTTTCGAATCATTGGTAAAAATGTTACAACACGCAATACTTAATCTGTAATGTAATTTATAAGAATCGTCTTCCCATTTTTATACCAGGTCTTTTTATATAAAAGTAGTAAATCGATCTTTCATCGTACACAGAGTATTCATTAAATACAATGAAAAGCACATTTCCATTAGTAATAATAATACAAATTTGCTTATTTTTCAAAATGAATTGTAAAATTTTCAAATCAAAATCTAAATATTCGTACAAGTGGAATATCATATCTACTGTTCCGCAAAGCGTCAAATAAACAACTGCAGTTGTGTAATTATCGATACTTATTCCCACGAATGCCTACGTGATTTCAGTTCGATATAATAATCGACAAATCGTTAGTTTTTAATGGAATTTTTAATAAAGGAATTCTTTGCTTGTCACTTTTAATGAGACACTCTGTGTAAGCATACATATCGTATGCATAGAGCAGCATATAATAATACAAGGTTCCGTTTATTAAGTCGAGTTTCCCGAATAAGTATCAAATTCTGTACGCTTAAATTTGGAACGCATTAATATGTTAGCCGTTTAGTATGTTGCATACTCTTCAAATTTCAATATTTAAGCATACTGGGGAACAAATTCAATAACAATCTAATTCAGGATGAATGTATTTGAAAGCTGTAGAAGAAAAGTAATTCTATACTATTCAATTATATATGATGTTTCTTTTTTGCAGTAGACAGGTTTCTTATTCTCCTTCTTTTAAGGAAATCTTACTAAATAGTTTTTGCTAAGTATTATAAAGTAAACAGAATTAAAATACGACGTTCAATTATAAGCATAACTTTGATAATTGAGTTTGTCTCTATTCAAAAAAATTCTTTTGGTACTGTCATTATAATTATTTAAAGAGAAAGTAAAGAGTATATTACGTTGAAAAATATATAAGATTTTACAGCAAATTGTAGATGCACCGTCAAACGTGAAACGAAATTTTTAGAAGCTATCTATGGGAAATTCTTCTGTTCAAAGTAGTATTACTAGCACAGTAATTAGTCGAGTATTATAAAAACTGAAATATTTGTGCCTTCGATAAAATTTAGTACTTTAACCCTTTCATAAAACTTTGTCATAAAATTTGTGATGCAACGTGGAAGCAAAGAGGTCTAAATAAAGAAACGAGTAGAAATAATGTAAATATTTTATATAGAGTTAATAATCGACAGTCTGATTAAGATTAATAATAAAAAAAAACTTGCGAAAAGTTCATCGAAGCTTCGATAAGCTTCAAGAATTGAAAATACCATCGAAATCAGCGCATTTTTCATCGATGCAGGAAAACTTTTTTGTCGAGGAAATTAATGTTGGATCGATCGTTGCTTTTAACTTCCATTTTTTAAATTGATCAAAAACTCGATGAAATTTAGATAATAGCGAATGGCACCGATGCGGCACATCTAATTACTCTATACATATTTTCAACAGTCGTATATGCTCATATTATATACGTAGAGAAAAAAATAATGAAACAACCTTCTTTTTCTTCTATTCAGTTGAATATAAATAAACTGGCAATAATCGATAACTTGAATAGTGAGAAAAATAAAATCTAGCAAGTATTCTTGAGGATTCGTGATCGAGCAAAACATTTTGAGGAAAGATATCGAATTACTTTTACCTTTAATTAGTGCTGCGTTTATTTGGCTTTGGATTTAATTTCGAAAATAAGTAACAGTTAATGATTGTATGCAGAAATTAAGTAGAAGCAAGTTTAAATCAACAATTAGGCGGCATCGATTAAAAGTTAAGGAAATACGAAGTAAATAATACTGTAAATACAGAGAAGAAGAATATTTTGTTGCAATGAGTGTGTGGAAAATAAATAAGAAAGAAAGACCGAGCAATCGATCGATCGAATAAACGGGCGAGAGAGAGAGAGAGAGAGAGAGAGAGAGAGAAAGAGAAAGAGAAAGAGAGAATGAGAAAATAAGAATACGTAGTATCGATTAAAACGGAAGAGCACGAAATACATTTCTAAAGAAATTAATAATTCGCCTTGTTAGAAGATGACTAATTTGCGTATGATAACAAAAAATGAACGTTTGCAAAATATCTGTAATTCAATCAACGATCGCTTAATCGACTTTACTCGACATTCGCATAACTGTGATTGTGACACAGAGTTTGGTTTAACTGCTGTATTCAATTTGATGCTTGATCAAGATATAATATGCATAGTCTTCCGGTTACAAGAATATGGTCTTCATACATAAATTCTTAATGTTTAATCGTATAATAACAGAGAAAAAAATTTATCAAGACTTTTTCGCCAATCATGACAATATTTGTATAATGCTGTGGAATCTATAATATATATTAATCGAAGAGCTTAAATACAACAAATTGTAACAATAACTAATAGAAACGTGCGCGTACGCGCATACCCACACACATGTTAAAATGAAAGAGATCGAACTCTAGAAATAATGTTATAGATATTTGCCTATAGTTTTTCTAATCGGTGCATTATTCAATGCAACGGATATATTTATAAACGATGTAAAAATGTTAACAAATTTTGTATTGCTTACGATGAACTGACTTGAATTAATTTTGTTTTACTGCAAAAATTATTCCGCATAATTGTTTATAATTCCTTTCTTTTTAATGACGAGCAAACGTTTCTTGTATTTTCAGCACAAGTACATTGCAAAATCATTATTGTTAAAAGTATTCAATTGTCAAGTTAGTTGATCGGAAAAAGACAGGTTGCGCTAATGTAATCCAAGGATATTTCATACTTCCAACATAGAAAGATGGCTATTTAAACGCAATTAGAAGGTAGTTTTATACATACAACATGATTATTACAAAATAAACAAATTTTTATAAACTATTGTTTTCTTAACCTCTGCTTCTACAAGATTATTTTACGCTTGTAATAATAAAAGAACAACAGTATAGTTTTTAAGACATTAATATAAAAATAATTACATATACAAGGTGCTATTTTAATTTCTCCATTAAAATATCTCTGAAACTATAGAGAAATGTTTAATACTAAAGTGTAGATCTTTGGCAATATGCAAGGACTCTATTCGTAGGCATTTTGTCCGGAATTAAATTTTTATCAATTAGTTTTGGAAGTGATAATATTTATGACGTCATAAAGAATGATAGAAGTTAAGGAATTAATGGAAAGGTAAATAAAAAGCATTTAAAATACTAATTTTGATTCATTATTGGTATAAATGTACGTTTCACAAATGTTAATATTAAATATAGTTTATAAATATTTACATTAAAATATAAAGAAATAGTGTCAGAATTGTTAAGAAATACAATTTTAAAAATAAAAATATATTGAGGTTGAATGATAAAAATTGTGATAATCATTTGATTTTCATTGTTTTAGAAATAATTATTGTATCTTTCATTAGGTGTAAAACAGAAGTGTTAAGGTTCTATGTAATAACAGGAAAGTGCATTAAACAATAGGTTTATACTGTAATGCATATTTGTACTCTCAATCTGTTGTATTGCGTTAGCTAGGAATATTTATATTTTATATCACCAAAAAAACATATATGTAACTAGGGATTGTTTGTGCGTACTTTTAAGCGAGGTTGGTTATCGGTTGGTCTTGTGACACCATACAGTTAAAGAGAAGTGTAAGGTGCAAGTATCGGAACCTTAATTTTTGAACAAAGTTTTTATTAAAATACGCAAAGTTTAAAGAACGATAATGGATATGGTGGGCCGCACGAACATTAAAGATATGATACCGGCTTTACCGGATGAGAAAATTGGTAAACATTTTGAAATATAATTTTTTGTTAATATGACAGTGCCCCTCCCAATATTGTCAGTGTTTATATACCTTTAAAAAACACGAATATCATCATTTTCCTTCTTTCCTCTTCTTTACATTTATGTATTGTAAAAGTAGTGAATTTGTCATGGTACAAAAGTTCGTTTATTAATTCAAGGTAGTAACTATATGTATACTTTGAATACATTTTGTAAAAAACGTTTTTTTTCTTTTACATCGCGGCAAAAAAAGATTTATTTGTTTGTTATTATTATCAATACTATTAATGATTTATAACAATAATATTGGAAACATTTTAGATATGTTAGCGGCTACAAGTATTCTTCAACAACAAGCAGCTGACATTAGAACTCAACGAATTACTTGGCATACATATTTACAGTAAGAAGTTTCAGTATTGATTTTAGTACAGTAACATTATAAAAATTAAAATTTTTAGTTGTATTAAAAATATTTAGATTTTGAAGTATAGCATTTGTACTATAAGTTTTTCTTTGTATATAGGGTAAATTAGTTGTACATAATATTTAATATTTTATAGTTCTCAAATGATGTCAAAGGAAGACCATGATTTCATAGTTGCTTTTGATACCAATGACGCCAGCGTGCGAGAAAAAAAGCTAAAAGAAGATCCACATCAAGCTGCTAAAACTTTTCTTAATTTACTTGGTCATGTATCAAAAGATCAGACTATTCAGTATATTCTTACAATGATCGATGATATGCTTCAGGTACATAAAATTATTTATTATAAGGTAATGTACAACCTATGTCAATTAAATGTTTCTAAATAGTTGTATTTTAATATTAGGAAGATCGTAGTCGTGTAGAAATTTTCCAAGAACATTCAAATCGTAAACGGGAATCAGTTTGGGGACCTTTCTTGAACTTATTGAACAGACAAGATGGATTTATAATGAATATGACATCACGAATTATAGCTAAACTTGCTTGTTGGAGTCATGATTTAATGGAAAAAACAGATCTCCAATTTTATTTGACATGGCTTAAAGATCAGCTGAAACTCAGTGTAAGTTCAAAAAAACATGATTATTTACGTGTATGAATTAACCTTTTTGGTACAATGAGCAGACTTTTTATAATTTTGTGTAGCGTATTGTGTTTTAAATTATTCGTTCGTAATTTATATTCACGCACAAAAGAAATTACAGTAGTGCCCACTTAACTGACCACGCTCGGGACCGACCGAGGTCACTTATGTGGGCATGGTTACTTCTCACAATTCAACGGAGATAAGAAAAGAGGATAAGTGCGAGTGAGATACAATAGCTGGCACCCGAAACCATATACCTACATATATACAATGTATCGATAACGACCGGCGTCAAGTTACGCTCGATGTTCGAAGCCGCTTGCCTTCTAAAGCCGCGTCCCCACTGGGTCGGCATTTGCCGTTCGGCACGGCCGATCGGCAAAAGCCGAGAATTGCGTCTACACTGCGTCCGCATCTGTCATCTAGCACGGCCGATCGGCACCCTAAGTACTTCTCGGCAAAGCCAAACACTGCATCGTCTTGGATAGCATGGCTTGAAAAGCCGAACGGCATGCCGACGAGTCGATCGGCACGATGTCGGTAACCATCAAAAGAGATCGTGCCAAGACACGAGAGCACGAAAGTTTCATGTCAATTTCGTTCCAAAACCATCATCGAGATACAAAGATACAGGAACTTTAAACGTTAATAACTTTTTAACAAAGCCTCCATCAACAAATTGGTATTCTTTCGCGATCGAACGGAAAATTTCACAGCGCGACGATTGCTACCTCCAGTTCTGAAAGGCCCAGGCAGCGCCATAAAGCCTCGTCTTGTAACCAAATATGGTCATAGGCGAAAGATTTTTTCCTCGTACCCATATTTTTGCATAGTCGATAGCCTTTCGTTCCATTCAACGACGGAATTTTCCGCAACCCCCACTAACTGTTCATCCCCTGCACTAGTCGACGAAGTTAGTGTTCCGTTTGATTAGCTCAGGTTTTTACGCTTTTTTATGTTGCCAGATTTGGAACCGTTACTTCGTCGCGAAAGTCCTCGAATATTCCGCATCTGGCAAATTTTGTTGTAAAATAATTTAGTGCTTTGTCGAAACGAAAGCGCTAGGCCCGAGTTGACCAGCGAAGGGCTATATTGTTCCGCGGGTGGTACGGTCTTCAAGGCCAAACGTCGCACAATGTGACAAGTATATGGGAGTTCGGGACAAAATTAATAACTCCTAAACTATTCAATTTTCGACTTAAGGCCTCTATACTTTTTTTAAGAGGATACAAAGATGCATCGATTTATGACCAAAAAAATACAATTTTACAAAAAAAATTAAGGTGATCTTAACAAGTAATAAGTAACAATAACAGTAACAAGTTTCTTAACGGCAATGAAAAGATTAATTGTTTTTATTGCCCACCTATGACATCGTGGCAAAGGTGGAGCGATTTATAAATTATAAATACATACAGTTTGTATAGCAATTATTCTATGTGGTTTCGACAATAGTGGTACTCGTCGGAAAACAAAAATCAAGAATATCAATTTCTTGACTGAGGCTTCGTTAAAAAGTTATTAAAAAATTCTACGATACGGTCTTTTCTACGATACGTTTGCTTTAACGGTTGTACGAATTAGCTTTTCTACGATTTAATTCAACGGTTTTACGGATTGGTCGATGTTTCCGGAGCCCGTTTCTTCCTCCGATACGCGATTTTGGGGGTGTCAACCGAATTTGGTATTAACTTTTAGCTCGACCGATTGGTCATCGACTAAGGGAAGGAGGACCCATTTTCACACCCCGTTTGGGAGGAAAACTCTTTCCTCATACCTGAACGTGGTGGAGGAAGACTTCCAGGTCACCCCCAGAACGAGGGTGCCCGAGGTTTTCTCCCCAAGTCGAAGGCTACGTTAATTTATCGAAGAAAAAACGGGACTCCGGATTAGGACGCGACGAGTGGCCGCGCGTGTTTAACAGCTGTTTTATGGCTATATTGTTCCACGAGTTGGCTCGTGGTCACTGTACATTTTTTGTGTACTGAAATGGCTTTGCCGCGGTGCATAGCAGTGGCACGGCCGTGCCGCCTTGTGCCGCCTTTTGCCGAACGCTGTGCCGATCGGCAAATGCCGAGCCGTGCCGACCCAGTGGGGACGCAGCTTAAGAATTAATGGGGATAACCCATGGTTATGTGGACACTACTGTAATACTTAGAATAATTTTGTGGGCAAGATTTCTACATATTCTGAATGGAATTGAAATGATACAGCCATCGAGCATAGTCGACATCCGTACCAAAATGGTTAAAATTTTATGCGCTTTTTATTTGTCGCTTTGCTTTCATTTTTATATAATATATTTATGTGTGTGCACAATATGGGTAATGGTTTGTTCTCATTATGTATACGATCAAATGTATTATATGTATAGTTACACAAGTTTTATACAACATACTTCAGAAATCTGTTTCAAGGATATATTTCTTTGAAAAGTTACATGTTATTGTATGTGAAATCATACTTATGCTTTCTGTATATCTTCCATGTATACACGTTTGTACAGTTGTACAAAGAACAATGTAAACCGGCTACTAAATTTTAAGGACGACTAACAATAGAACAGAAATTTAAGTGTGTCGCTACTTACCATACAGCAGGTCCATGTTGCTTGATGCAAAGTAAAGAATATACGAAAAATGTTTTTAAATTATGTGATTATTTGAAAATATGAACAAGTCACGCCGGATTTTAGTTTGATGCTCTTCAGGACACAGGCTTGCATGGGGGAGTAGAGCAAGGCAACGGTACGGACAGGGAGGCGACTGAACTACACGAACAAATAAATCCGGTTGGTCTTATATCTAATTGTTGACACGAAAATATAACACAACTAAATTATTTTGAGCCAATCTCAAATATAAAACACAACCATGCGATATAAATTATTTAATATTAAACAATAAATTTTAATTCAAATACAGAGGGAACAGTTTAATAAGTTCGTATGTAATTATACTATATAAAAATGTTCTCGTAAGTATACAAAATTACTCTTGATTGAGAAGTAAATAATTCAATGCAGCGTATATATATATATTAATTAGATATTTTAAATGCGTTATTTCACTTTTCTTGTGCGCACACATAATTCTAATCCCTTTCCTCATACAGGTATATTTTTTAAGTATCATAAATTTCGCTGTTTTTATATAGAATAATGAGTATATTCAGTCTGTGGCACGCTGTTTGCAAATGATGCTTCGCATAGACGAGTATCGTTTTGCATTTGTATCCGTTGATGGAATTTCTACCTTGCTGAGTGTATTGACAGGCAGAGTAAATTTTCAAGTACAATACCAACTTATATTTTGCTTATGGGTACTTACCTTTAATCCACTACTCGCTGAGAAGATGAACAAGTACGTATGTCGTGTCTAATTCGTGGGAAGATATTATGTAAATCTAACATTGAATTTGTACATTTTAGATTTAATGTCATACCTATCTTAGCAGATATATTAAGTGATTCTGTTAAGGAGAAAGTTACACGTATTATTTTGGCAGTATTTAGGGTAAGTTAGATAATCGAAATATTCACTTTTTATTATTTATTTTCGATATTTCGTAGAATCTCATCGAAAAAGTAGAGGATGGACAAGTTGCTAAAGAACACTGTATCGCTATGGTACAGTGCAAAGTATTAAAACAATTGTCAATACTGGGGCAACGTAAATTCGACGACGAAGATATTACCGGCGATATTGAATTCTTAAACGATAAGTTACAAGCGTCTGTTCAGGATTTAAGTTCCTTCGACGAGTATTCGACCGAAGTAAAATCTGGACGCCTTGAATGGTCTCCTGTTCACAAATCTGGCAAATTCTGGCGAGAAAACGCTAATCGTCTTAACGAGAAGAATTACGAACTGCTGCGTATTTTGGTTCATTTATTGGAAACTAGTAAGGATCCCCTAGTACTCAGTGTCGCTAGCTTTGATGTGGGAGAATATGTAAGGCACTATCCGCGTGGTAAACAGTATGTTTTGACGAAATTGTTCTATTTACAATTATTTTTTACACATTGCTATTTATTATTCAATATGGGTCTGAAAATTGTTTCAGTATAATTGAACAGCTTGGAGGCAAGCAACGAGTGATGCAACTTCTGGGTCACGAAGATCCTAATGTGAGATACGAAGCCCTTCTTGCGGTTCAGAAACTTATGGTGCATAATTGGTACGTGACTTAGATACACACTATTCTAATAAAATTCTCTTGATTTTAATAATCGTGATTTTCAAATACTGATACGAGGGATTTCATTCATAGGGAGTATTTAGGAAAACAATTGGAAAAAGAACAAACTGGAACATCGAGTGCTCCAGGAACTAAACCTGGTGCGCAAGTCCCAGCAAAGGCTTAGATGATTTTCATAAGCTTCCTAATTGTAAGTTTAGCTTGAAATCTATACATTTTATTTTTTCTGTATTACCTTAAAACGATCTATTTTCATTGCACGCAGAGATTGGTATAACAACTGCTTCTTTCCAATTACAATGTACTTCGTAACTACATTTGACTTTGCATTCCAGTGCAGTTACATGTACAATAGATACGAGAAATGTTTCCGAATAAATTCGACTCGTTCGACATCTTAGATATACAGATCAAAATATGTACATAATCGTCATACATTGTTGTCGTCTTGATAGTGAGGCGAATGTGTTTATAGAGTAATGTTAATGGAATTTATAATTACAATATTTAATGGAATGTTAGAAAAAATAAAGTATTATTAATGGAGAATAATGTAAAAATATATACATTCCAATGTTCTCTTTATTTCTCCGCAAATGTTAGTTTCACATTAATATTACAAGACGTCAATTGCGTTACGAGGTATCGAAAGATGTACGGTATATCAACTTCCCTTACAGATTTGTCATCACCGCAAAGACGACATCTTCTTCTGTCATCTAATCTTGACACGTTCACAGACATTTCTATTACCGGACCCAACAATGTCCCACATTTCTGACATACCGAAGTCTAAAATGTTAACATTGCCATTAATTAGATATCTTATTAAAAGCAGAAAAATGCGAATTCGAAAGTATTCGAACCTACCGTAGTCTTATCTGAACAGTGAAAAAGACGGTCTTGAAGTAGAAACGAACAGCCATGAGATATCAACGAATCTCGTTCCATTTCCCCAAATCGCACACCACCACCTCTTCGTCTACCTTTTATAGGTTGTCTCGTAAGAATGTCGATTGGACCCGTGCTTCTAACCTACAAAAAATGCACAATTTTAAAAGCAAACCGTAGAATAATACCAGAAATTTATATTTACATCAACCAACCTGCCACTTGTCGGAAACCATGTGCCGCAATCGTTGATAATGTACAACTCCAAAGAAAATATCGGCTGTCATTTCCCTTCCATCTATACCCGAATACATTCTTTCGGTTCCATTATAATTATAACCGCCACGTTCTAATAATTTTCCAAAATATTCAATCGCGGTTTCATTCTCATTAAATCGAAAGGACGTTGCATCATGCACCAAACCGTGTATGGCTGCTGATTTTCCAGCCATCACTTCAATCATCATAGCTATTGTCATACGACTTGGAAAACCATGTGGATTGAATACGATATCAGGAATTAAACCAGTTTCTGTAAACGGTAAATCCTCCGCTGGCCACTTTTGCGAGCAAATACCTTTTTGACCTGCTCTTGAAGCAAATTTATCTCCAACGTTTGGATTACGCTAAATGTTAAATATTAATTAGTAACTGTAACACGCATTGGCTTATAAGATGTTACAAAATTATATTCTACTAACGGTAATGCGAAAGGTAATGCAAGCTCTACGTGGAATATGGCCATGCAAAGTGCCACAGAGTTTTACATTGTCAACATGAGCATCCTCTTTGCCATGATATTTACCAGTAATATACGTTGATTGATCAGCATCATAGTAACTGTTCAGGTGTTAACATTTAACATAAAATGAATTAACAATTTTTGCTCGGAATGTCGAGGGTATTATAAATAACTTACCAATAGTAGATATCACCTTCCTTAATAACAGTACCTATCATAGGAAGACCGTCAGTGTCCAATTTTTCTGCAAGTTCAGGTTTATCTGGATTTCGTGCAAAATAACTTTTTTGATCTTTCAAATCGACAAATTCGGATTTGTAAATCGTTCCATGCGCGAAACCTCTATCGTACGCTGCTTTATTTATAATCATCGCGTCTTCCATATCGTATCCCTATAAGTGTACATATCATATTACGTAAATACATACTTTATTTCTACATACATTTTACTTCATTTTTTACTCACTGTATAAGAAACAACAGCAACTATTGCATTAGTACCCATAGGAAAATCATCAAGATTAATCTTGTCATAATGTACAGGTCGAAAGAATGGTGTTGCTGGTGTTTGCAATCTATATAATTTAGTTTCGGATTGTAATTGCCATGTATGACACGGAGTACCCATTGTTTGTTTACCCATCTGAAAAATAGCGAAATTAAATTTCTAGAAAATTCTCAAGTAAAAGAAAATTTGTAAAATATCTCACTTGACACTGATACATATTTCGTGGACTTTGATTACAGTCTGGCATTGGGATAAGATTTGCTAAGTTGCTTAAGAACGCCGTTTTTGACAATTCCTGGTGCGACGTCAACTGTAATTATAAATTGAATGGGAATGTGAAGAGCAATATGTAAAAGGCTTAAGAGGAAATGATATATTACTCCATCATAGGCTTCCTCGGGCGTCACGCAGATATCTAAATAAATCTGTTCAAATGTTCCTATATATTCAATTTTTTTAGCAGCCAGATTCATTACTGGTCTCATCATACGAGCTGGATTCGTAAACAAATATAATCCTGGATACTGGGCTGGGACATTCTTCTTTGGCACCAATGCTATTTCCATCGTGTACGGAACCTAAAAACAACTTAAGAGTAACACAATCTAAATTAATTACTCGATCGAAAAAACTCATGGTATCATTACCTCTTTTCCTTTTATTTTAAGTAATCTCAATTTGTCCGTCACTCTAGTAATTATATTGTCACCTATTAGTCCAATCAACTTCCCATCTAACATTACAACATATGAGTCTTTCCAACTGTCAGCAATCAATAATGGAATCATTCCAAGGTCCATTAATATAACAGGAATGTTGGATTTTAATTTTGGATCTGGGTGTTTTGTAATGATGCAATTCATTGTTAAGTGATTTAGAAGGCCGCAAGGTGCACCATCGGGCGTATGCACAGGGCAAATAAAACCTATATTTTAATAATTAATAAATTATCATTAATTATATCTAATCATAATTCAAATAAATAAACTATTACCCCATGCGTCTGGCAATAACTGTCTAGCTTCGGTAGTCCTCATTTCTTGAAAGAATGAACCTCTATGTATTGCACGAAAATGGCTCATATAACGCATTCTGTTAATATTTTCAGCGATAATCGTAAGACCTGTAGTTTGCATCAGTCCTAAACCAGTTGGCGACTTTAAATTTCCAGTCGATATAAAATTTTCCATCTGCGATTCAAGCGAGTTTCCATGTTTCATTACGTTTAACATTTCCTCTGTACCGATAAAAAAAAATAAATAAATCTATTTAACGTCCAGAATATGAAAAATCTGTAGATTAGGATTTGAAATACTTACGCACGCTTAAAATGTATCTATTACCCGCACTTCTCGCGCGCTTTAAGATGCCAATTTTAAGACCAATCAGCCAAGCATATAGCTTTTCTTTCAGTACTTGTAAATACAAATGTCCACCGAGTAGGCATTCCTGCATCATTACAGCATCAGCTCCTTCGACAGCACACTTATTATTTGCAAGAGCAAATAGTTTTTTTGTCATAAAAACAAGTAAATAAAATTTATCCAATGGTTTGTTAAGGTGAATCGCTATGCAGTGTCTGGAAATAATATATATGAACTATATACGATAACATGTACAGTAGTGCCCACTTAAGTGTCCGCGCTCGGGACCGGCCGCGGTCACTTAAGTGGGCATGGTCACTTCTCAGAATTCAACGGAGATAAGGAAAGAAGATAAGTGCGAGTAAGATACAATAGCTGGTACCCGAAACCATATACCCACATATATACAATTTATCGATAACGACCGGCGTCAAGTTACGCTCGATACGCTTGTTCGCGATGTTCGAAGCCGCTTGGCTTCCAAGAATTGGTGGGGATAGCTGCGGACTCTTAAGTGGACACTACTGTATTTACTAATATGTTCAGTGAACTTACTTAATAATAAAGTCACAAACATCAATGTCTGTAGCATCTTGAGGCAATTCGGAAAACTTTATTCTAAACATCCTTCCTATGTAAGCTTTGCATTCTTCGTGACTATGTAAATCTTGCATGTGTATCGCTCGTAGCATATTTAGGATACAACCTTTATAATACAGATCATCCTCACAAGTAGCTGTTAATGCATTGTAAATAAAAATGTCAGAAACATCGACCAAACACTTTAACATCAGGATTAGTGGAACATAGTATAGTATCTTCTTATATGTGAACATTAACTTTGCAGAACCATCGGTTACATAATGTAAAGTATTGTTCTGTAAAACATATAGTTTTATAGTATCATAGTTTAAGTTATAGAAAATATTAGATGTTTAGTAGACAAAATACATACAGTTGCAGTGTTATCATCACGTACACATCTTAGAAGTAAACCAAGATCACTAAATTGAATACCACGAGCTTTCCATCCTGATCTTCTAATAGCAATAGGATAATTTCTTCTTGTCATTAATAGCATTCTTATAATTCTTTCAAGTCCTTTGACTATAAAGTATCCACCCCACTCTTGTTCATGTTCTCCATGGCTAACTAACTCACTTGGACTCATTTTACTCAAATGACATCGATTAGACTACAACATCAAATGTGAATTTTAGTTAGTGCCTGAGTAAAATCTCGCTGTGTTGATGCTGGTTCATAGGACATTGTTTCATACCTTAATCATAATCGGTGTCTCTCCTAGATCCCGTTCTAGAGCCTCTTGTACTTTGTCATTGATGGACCAACCCAATTTAGCTGTTATCTTTCCTTTATAAGTATATCCTCGCTGTCTACATTCACTAGGATAAATCTTATAGCTTTTTACTCCGATTGTACCAGTTGGAACAGTAGGTTGATGAATAGATACATCATCGACCCACAGGGCAACTTTGTCTCCATTTGGAAGATAAATATAAACATGTGGATTATCCCGAACGGCCTCAGAGAGGCCATCTTCTAACATATAATTAAAGGAATCTACATGTGGAGAACCTAAACTCTGCAATAACTAAAATATACAAATAATTTAGTTCGACCTAACATTTCCAAAAAAACCAAAACTTGAGGTTAATTTAAAAATATCAATATTTACAGGATTTTGCTTTTCGGGCGGTTTACCGAAATTTTCAGACGTGTTTGTTAATTTCGGCTCAATCAACATTTTTGTACCGTTTAAAAATATGAAAGACCTTGCGTATAATTTAAACGATCCACGCTGCTCAATGCCCGGTCTTATGACACTGTAGAATGCACATGCATAGCATAGAATATAGAGTTCAAAACATTTATTTCACCTCACGTGAATCACGTGGAGAATTTCAACCATAGGTATAATAATTATCATAGATAGGTATGTTTCAGAATTTTAATAGTGATAAGTAAGGAAACTTGAAGTAGATTTTGCTAGTTATGAGTAAGTGCCTCTAACGACCAAAATTTGGATTAATAGTTATAATATCGATTACGATTCTTGAACGTGGTGCATATCGATCAATGTTCTTAGTGTTCAATGTGTTCGTCGCGTGCAGTCGCGCGCTCATCTGACTAGGTTTCAAACAACACAGACTGGAAATCGTACATAATGAATTTCAAGCCTTATATCTCGGTAACAAAGCCTTGAGTCGAAAAACGGTTAAAAAGTTTTCGATTTAAGCCTGTATGATACATTAATCCTAAGAGAGAAGATCCCACATTTTCAGTAATAGTCTGTGTAGCACATGGCTGGGACATTCCGGTAATAGTTTACGTTGGCGCGAAACAACACAACGTTATTTAAAAAGTAGCCAAGTATACTGATTAAAATGGTAAGCGAGTCAGTGAAGGTCGTATGCCGTTTTCTGACAACTCAACTGGGAGTGTTTTAAGAGTGACAAAGAAATATTCGCCTTGTTTTTCAACTCCTCGAAGCTGTGCATTAGTGTGTGTAAGTGGAGGGGCAATTTCCTGATGGAACCAGTCTGCTGTCTGACGTTTATGTCGTTGCATCGTCGAGTCCATACTCCTGCATTGAGAAAGCGGCAATCATGTAAGTAAATGCATACATACATGGAAATACATGCGAAGGAGAAGTCGACCAAGCAGTAATATATTACGAAGCGATATAATGCGACTCTACTTCTATATTCATAACAAATTTGATTGAAAACTACTTTAATCATGTTACACACGGGCGTTGACATCATTGTCAATCTGTTTAAATATGTCGCATATTTTACGCATTATTAAACGTTACTTATATAAATTAAAATCTAATCTTCCCGCGAAACAATATTTTATTTATTACTATTTCATTATTAATATTATTATTCTATGATGTGTGTGTAAAAAATCAAACGTTCATGATAATAAGGTATTTAACGATGTATTTATAACATGGGTTCATCAGGAAAATATTCATCATTTATTTAATAATATAAAAATTTGGGTAGGTACTAAACATATATTAAGAATTATATGACAGCTTTCTTTAATAATACATCGTTAAATATGACACACATTAAACTATGTCAGATGTTTACGCGAAAACTGACCATGAGATCCGGCGAACGACTTTTTTGGTATTAAGAATACCCAGCCAGTGGTTTACAAGTCTTTTAATATTTTGTACAAAAATCAATGGATTATTACTTGTTGATTGGTAAAAAATTTAATTTTCCAACAATGACAAATAGAAAAGACCTGCTTCTTATCTTAAGCTGGCATGTTTTTTTACTAGGACATTTAGTACATTGAAAAATATCAAGATTCCACTAAAACCCAGTAACGTACAGTAGATTTAATAAAATGTTGAAAATGTCGAAATTTCAATAAGTTTTACAACAAGAATTGTGGTATATTACTGAAAAATCCAACGACGCAATGTTGTTACTGTAAGGTATTTATAAATGTTAAATACATATGTATTTTCTCGTTTCATTGTCAATATAAAGTAATACCGTACAATCTCAATAAATTGTAAATTAAAGATGATGACATCGTTCGTAACCGTTGGCATGGGTTTAATTGTAAGTTGTGCATTGGGATTAATTTGTAGAAATCCGTGTAAACTAACAGCCGGAGTTTACAGCAGGGGTACTCCACTGGTTTGTTACTCCTGTAACGGTAAAAGCGTGACAGATACAGTAGAAGCAAACAGGCAGGAGGAAGGGAAATCGTGCGCTGCTCGGTTTCTTGGATGGATGATTGGTGGTATTCGTTAGTATTCGTCTAACTGTTGCATCGAAAGCTTAGTGACTTCACGTTTTATATTCCTGTCTGCGATTTTTCGAAAGAAAAGTACAACTCGCGGTCGCATGCGACCAGCGAAACTGACACACGACGTCCTAAAACGTATCACGAAACAGGTTGTTTGACGAGGTGAGTCATCGTCCATGATTATTTTGCGAGATGACGCGACTTACCGTTGATCTTCGCGTTATATACAAGTCGAGAATTGAGTTCGAATTATTGCCGAGGATACGCATAATAAAAAAAATAACAGATCATCGGAAGCTTTTTCTTTTTTAATTGGCCACGGGATAGTTGATATTTTCTGGATTTACAGTTTTATTAGAAAATCGACACGAATCTTAACGGCAAACCGGGATTTGAGAACTGGCAGAATGTAAACTTCTGTCGTGCTACTTTCTAATTAACAAGCACATTCCACCGACCAGACGATTTTCAAAACTAACCATTAACTAATTTATTTCTCGCTTAAAGTAATATTTTTTTACTTAAAAAGTAACACATTAATTTCTATTTTTATACGTCCGGCAAAAAGAATTAATAATATAATGAAATTACTAGTAAAACATGTTTTGGAATAATCGGTGGTAATTATTTCAAACGCATTGAATGAAAATCTAGTAATATTACAGTCGATTTTGAACATCATAAACTTTTTAATATATTCCAAGTCTCTTAAATTAAAAAATTTTTCTTATCTGTAACAGTTGCTTAATTTAAAAATAGTCTTGTACGTAATTTGCAATATTTCATATTATATTACAAAAAGCAATTATTTCATTATTAATATACAAAAAGTAACGATTTAAAAATAACCCTAAATGTCGTTTAATCACCTATTGTTGATGTATACCATGCAAATTGTCAAGTAGTTGTAAATGAAAAACACTGAGCCCAATTTTGAAATGCACGTAACGATCGAGCGTTGTAATTGTTGATTCATTGATGACCAAATATGACGAAGATTCGATGCCTCGCAAACTTTTCTTCAAGGCTTGTAATTACATAATATCAAACTACAATGTTGTATTATACGCGACAAATGTTTCTAGGAATTATAAACAAAAAAAATAAATTAGTCGTTGCATAATGTTTGGGTAATAATACGATGTATTTAAATCATAATGCAATTGTATAATTGAACGCTCGTAGGTGTTCACCGTGCATGATATACTGTTGTCCATATAAATTCATAGCGTGAAACAAGTTTTTTTATTATTAATGCTATGAACATTTCACATTTTATTCTGTTTATGACAAAAATAATTGATATTTATGTGTTTGTATTAGAAAGTACTTACTATATACATTGGTCCCCCAATAATGGTTATTTATTTACGATCGATAAAATATTTACCTGCTTTTGGTGTTAAAATTTTAACAAAAGTTATTATGCAATTACTGTACTATACGTAATGGTAAATGACTGTAGTCCAGTTTAGTTGAGGAAAGATTAATTACTTTTTAGAATTCAGAAATGTTAAAAATAGATTTTAAAAAATAATCTATTGAATAGTTTGAACAACAAAAACTGACTGAATATGACCTATTTTTTTACTCAACAAGATAGAAATTCTCCTTGGTATTAATAAAATAAATGTAAAATAAACAATTTGTAACATAAACGCAGCATACATCGAGCGGCCGATGTACGTATAATGTTTAAGCGATGATGATGAAACAAGTTTGAAAATTTATAATATTCAAGAGAATTTCGTAGAACATGATCATGCGACAAAATAATTGCCATTTACATACATATATCGTATATCTTAGATTATCTTATTTCAACATCTTTCGTTGTATAATAGACAATAATTGTGTACCATACAATTATTATATAATATGTTGTATATTATCGCAATATTATTACATGGTAAATGAATTAATATACTAATCATTTATAATTTAATTTATTTATAAATTTATTTAATTTATTTATAAATTATTTATTTATTTATAAATTAAATTATTGAATTAGTGAAGTAAAAGTTACAAAATTATAGTTATATTATATTATTATGTCAGGGACAAATGCAGAGTAAATTTTTTTATATAAATTAATTACAACAATATGTATTTTACAGAAGCTATAAAAATGAATTGGCAGTGGTTTCATTTTTTTTTTCTATCCTGCATAGTTACAAACATATTTGCAGAACCGTAAGTATATATTCACATACATATATTTGCTTTATTTATTTTAATAGATTAATATTTTAAGAACCAAATATTAGATATTATGTTATTATCTTCACCATTGTTTCATAAAGAAATACTTCTTTAATTTTTAAAGGTATTATAGTATAATTGCTCCAAAGGTGGTTAGACCTAATTCAGAATATCACGTAGCAGTTAGTACTACTGGTATATCAACAACATCAACGATATACATAGAATTGAATGGATTTCTTGATAATGGAGATACATTCAATGTTTCACAAATTACACGCGTACAGCCGTATTTTACAAGAACGATACAGCTGGAGGTAAATTAACATTTTGGACATTTCTTCATAATAAAAGTAGTTTCCATTTGCTAATTATCTTTAAAATTTTAGATTGGCGACATCGTACCTGGCAAGTACGAATTAATCGCGCGTGGCCTAGCAGGAATCGAATTTTCAGATTCAAAGCCAGTTGAATACATTCATAAAAGTTACTCTGTTTTCATTCAAACTGACAGAGCAATTTATAAACCTGGCAACAAGGTCATGTTTAGATGCATTTTGTTGAATTCTAGACTTAGACCTACACTCGCAAGATTAATAGATATTTACATTATGGTAAATATATTTGGATAAATGCCATTAAATTAAACTAGTTTGATTTACTTTGCTTATAACAATGCATTATATACTATGTATAAAATTTGTATAGGATGGAAAAGGAAATAGAATTAAACAGTGGATCCGCCCACCTGTAACACATGGTATCTTTAATGGAGAAATTGAATTATCCGAATCACCAGTTTTAGGCACTTGGAAAATCACTGCCAATATCGGTGATCAAATTTTTGAAAAAGACTTTGAAGTTGCCGAATACGTCCTTCCCAATTTTGAAGTAACTATTGATGCCCCTAAACACTTCACATTCAAAGACTCGAAAATTGTTGCAACAGTTTATGCCAAGTAAGCAAATCTTAGCAATTAGATAAATTTGTATTCTTTTGTTTGAGCTTTTTGGAAACGTGTCTAAGATTGTATCTAGAATTCCTATTCTCCACGACTGTAGCAGAGACTTTGATGTTATTTAATGTTCATATCTTAATATTCTCATTAAAAATTTGACCAAAATTATTCATTTTAAAGTGCAAATCATTTAGGTATACTTATGGCAAGCCAGTGAAAGGTGAGGTAACAATTACAGCTTATCCTGATATTTTCTCTGGTGTTATTCAACCAATTTATCAACAACCTGTGCGGAAAGTAATTCCTATCGACGGGAAAGTGACGGTCGATTTTGACATTCAATCTGAACTTAAGTATGTGTTATTCTATAATATAATATTCATCATTTTTTTAAGCAAAAATATATCTTAACACGGTATATATTTTCTATAGATTAACAGATGACTATGAAAGGCCAGTTATGATTGATGTTGTAGTGGAGGAATCTTTAACTGGTAGAAGACAAAATACTTCTATGCAAATAACATTACACAAGTACAAATATACGATGGACTTGATAAAAACATCAGAATATTATAAACCTAATTTGAAGTATACAGCGTTCGTACGTGCACAGAATCATATTCTAATCGAATAAATTTCAATTTTCGTACAAGGTTGTTTTATAAAAACAAACATTTTATAGATAAAATTAACATACCACGATGGAACACCGGTTCGGGATAAAACAAATCCTGTTACGATAATGTATGGGTATACTTATAATCAATCTGCATACACCAATATTACCGGTATGCTGGATGAAAATGGAATGGTAAAATTAGATTTCTATCCACCGAAAAGCACAGATAATATTTCACTTCCCTTAAATATTGAGGTAAATTATAAATAATAGAAGTACTGTTAACAGTGATTAATAAATTATAAATTAATGTTATTTAATGAAAGAACATTGTTACAAATAGGCACAATATCTGAATCTTCACGAGTGGTTTCCCTCTACAAACCAAGCCATGTCTCTGAATAATGAATATATACAAGTTATTTTAAAAACTGAAAACCCCATGGTATGATTTTTTAATTTCTTTACATACAGGGTGTATGCGTTATGCTCCGTTATTATTAAATCTCAAAGTATGCTTTTTACATAAAAAAGTTAAGGTCAACCTGTATATTAATATTGATATTAAAAATGTTATTTCCGTCTAAGGTCAATCAAGACGTCGAAATGGAAGTAAATTCCACTGTACCGCTGAAATATATTAGTTACGAAATATTTGGGCGTGGTGATATATTAGATGCTGGTTCAATATATGTACAAAATAAATATACGACAACATTTAAGTAAATATTTATGAATTTTTAAACATAGAATTATTTAGTTTCTTTCTTAATTACTTGCATAGTCTGGAACAATAAATAAATTTTTTATTTCAGGTTTTTGGCAACATATGTTATGGCTCCTACTGTGCATGTTATTGTATATTATGTAGGAAATGATGGAGAAATTATTGCAGATGCTCTGGATGTTGAACTCGAGGGAATACTTCAGAATTTTGTAAGTTAATCTAAAAAATTTGGTAACAATAAAACATAATTAATAAACGTGATTATTGATTTTATACTTGTTATTTAAGGTCGACATTGAAGTAGCACCTGAAGAAGTTGAGCCAGGAGAAAAAGTAAATTTAATTATTACTACAAAACCGAATTCATATGTTGGACTACTAGGTGTGGATCAAAGATCTATTTTGCTTAAGTCTGGTAACGATATTTCGTTCGTAAGTCATTTTTTAACGATTTCATGAATTTAAGTCTTGCCGAAAGTATCGATCGTTGTAACGTATTTTGATTATGTGCAGGAACAAGTATACAAAGAGTTAAAATCATATGATATAGTACAGAAATCACCGTACATAGACTCAATTTTTGATCGATATCTATGGAGCCCTGGATCGGCTACAGCAAAGGAAGCGTTTAGCGTAAATAAATCAGTATTTTTTTTTTAATATTTTATCTGTTTTTTGCTAAAAATGTTGATCTGTATATTTATTTATTAGGAGAGCGGTGCTATTATAATAACAAATGGATATGTTCATGAAAATGTTGCAATTCGTAAGTAAACTCGAACAAGTTTTTACTTGGCTTATTAAGTTGGTTACTAATATTAATTTACACTCTCCATTATACGTGATCCTGAAGATTTTTCTGATGTAGTAACATAGTCCATAATTTTTTGACTCATCATAACGTAGCATGAAAGTAATATCCTCAAGCCCAGCATTCCATATAATAGTTACTATCAGTTCTTGAACTGATCAGACAAGGTATTTATCATTTAACAAAGCTTATGTCTGTATAGTATACTACAGGTCTGGTTTAGAGGGCGCCTTTTCAACTGCTGTTGGAAGTTCAAGTTCAGTTGTATTGCCATCAGAGAAGATGAAAGTACGCAAGAATTTCCCTGAAACTTGGCTTTGGCAAACGCTTGATGCTGGGTAATGCCATTGAAATTTTTACCGGCTAATAATATTCGTTAATGTGTAACTTGTTAAGTACATAGAAATATTACTTTAATACTACGTACTAACCGTTTTAAATCACGTACTACACTATGTTTTACTGTTTATAAAATTACCGATATTTATTAGGTGGAGAATATGTGTTTAGCTTTACGTAACTAACGCTACAAGGTAACGGCTTTATTACAATTCATTTTTTCTCTCTGCAATTTACTCTCCTAATAATACTAAAAAGTAGAAATCACTATTGTTCGTTCCTAAGAGTTATAAAAATCACAGAAAAAATTTATCTTCTCAACGTATTCTGAATAGAATTTAAAGAGAAATATATTTTTCTAGTAGCGTTATATTATTCTTTGATATTTCGTTGGTCGATTTGATATAATTACAATATATAGAATTGGATTGCAGGACAACCGGGAATACTGGATGGTAGAATAACAGGCTCGCCTCATGGGGCATCCACACTTCGACCAGACCTTGGTCCACCTGTTACGCACAAACTAGCAACAAGACCACCACTGGCAGGTCCTTATGCCTTCTCTCGCATCCCACCTCCTGTCTGGAATAAGCCCCGTGTTTTCCTAATGCATGACATTTTAAACACCTGGCTTTTTACAAACTTCTCTTCAGGGTATTTATCTTATATACTTTCAGTTTACAAAGCTTTATATACACGCTTTAAGTAAGTACTTTAATGAATAACGTTTATGTAATTATCGCTTTGTTTTTGTACAGAACGTTTCTGTGTAAATTAAAGCTCTGGGATGTTGTTTTGGGTGTTTATAATACGACTGGTACACATAGTCAGCGATTATATATAACATATCGTTGCTATTTTCTTTGCATTTTACATTGCATCATAATTTTATATTGTATTTTCAATCATTCATTCTTGCATACTGTTACAAAGTAAATTGCTTAGTTTTAATAAGGTGATTGAATTTCTGTAAAATATGACTATTATCAACATTATTTTATATGTAGAATTTATTTATGAACAAATTTATTGCGGTAATAGCAAATTTCTTATAATATTAGCCAACTCTTAGATTAATTACGATATATAAATTTCCTTTTTTTAATAAGTTAAATTGTATGTTTGCTATAAATCGTATCGCTTCTAAATATAAAAAAAAAATTTAATTTCAACAAACAAATAAGTATACACGTTAAAACTAGGTATGACGGAAAGAACGAACTGAAAAGAAATGTACCTGATTCAATCACATCGTGGGTGCTAACTGCATTTTCTGTAAATGACGTTCATGGACTGGGTCTTATAGAAGAGCCGCGAAAGGTAATTACAAAATGATATGCTAAAGTTAATTACAAATAATAATGTGAATTATAACAAGAGAAATTGATCTCTTTACAGTTAAAGGTTTTTAGGCCATTTTTTATTGCTATGGATCTCCCTTATTCTGTAATTCGAGGAGAGATTGTTGCGATCCAAATCATAGTATTTAATTACATGAGCAAAAGCGTAACGGCTGAAGTTTTGCTAACACACGAGGGCCAATTCGATTTTGCAGAAATTTCCAACGAAGTTCACGATGTACCAAGTAAGATTTAAATAGACAAATTTTATAATTTAAAAATAACTTGTAGAATTTATGTTATAGAACAGACGTGAATCGTATTTAAATATTTCAGAATTGGAGTTGTACCGTAAAAAGAAAGTAGACGTGAAAGCTAATTCTAGTGCTAGTGTATCTTTCATGATAATTCCAAGAGATTTGGGATACATTACAATCAAAGCAACCGCAAATAGTGTATTAGCTGGCGATAGTGTTGAACATAAACTGTTTGTTAAAGTAACGTGTTTCATATTGTTTTATCTATTGTTGATCGAAAATAACATTTAATTTTTGTTTATTAATATTCATACACACACACCTATATATATGTATATATATACATAGGCTGAAGGGGAAACACAGTATGTAAACAAAGCATCTTTCTTGGATCTTAGAAGTGCCGCCACCGTATCGACCAATTTTACTATTGATATACCTAAAAATGTTGTGCCAGGTTCTGAACACGTTGAAATCTCTGCAGTAGGTAAGTCTTCCCACTATTAACATTTTTAATTGTAATAAATTAACTATTGTGTATTTATTTGTCATTTTAATCCGATTACAAGCGAAAAGCGCTGATCGTTAAATTATATTTCTATTAGGCGATATTTTGGGCCCAAGTATTTTAAATTTGGCAAATTTAATTAAGATACCGTTTGGTTGCGGAGAACAGAATATGTTGAATTTTGTTCCAAATATAATGGTATTAAATTATCTGAAAGTAAGTGAATGTATAATGGAAAAAGAAAACAAAATGTATAGTTTGTTTACTGATAGAGAATCAATTAGTGGGAAAATTTATTTTCAGAATACAAACCAATTAACGCAAGCAGTGCAAGGTAAAGCTTTAAAGTATATGGAAATAGGCTATCAACGGGAGTTGACTTACAGGCACGATGATGGGTCGTTTAGTGCATTTGGCATGTCAGATAGTAATGGAAGCACATGGTATGCTTACCTGTTTACTTGTTACGTTCATAAATATTACAATATCTTTCGTTATATTATAATTCTGTTTTTCATTAGGCTTACTGCATTTGTAGCAAAGGCTTTTAATCAGGCTGTAGAATACATTCCGATTGAAAATAGAATAATAGATGAAGCTTTTCAGTGGTTAGCGAATAATCAGGCTCCAAATGGAAGCTTCCCGGAAGTAGGGAAGGTCAGTCATCGCGACATGCAAGGTGGAGCTGCAAAAGGTCTTGCATTGACAGCGTTTACTCTTATTGCTTTTCTAGAAAATACAGTGAGTTCAATTAATACTAATTTAAGATTATGAAAATAATAAACTCGATATCAATTTTTTTAATTTTTTTTTTTACAGAATGCTAACGGAAAATACAGAAATACAATAAATAAAGGAATTGATTACATTATCCGTAACATGAATGACCTAGATGATACGTATGCTTTGAGTATCTGCACATATGCCTTAAATTTGGCGAAACATCCATACGAGAATACCGCATTTAATTTATTAGAATCTAAGGCCATGACGAAAGAAGATCTTAAATGGTGGAGTAAACCTATTCCAAAAGATGATAAAAATCCATGGTACTCCTTACCACGACCCGTTGACGTCGAAATGACATCCTACACTTTGTTGACTTATTTAAGACGTAATGCCGTCACTGATTCTATACCTATAATGAAATGGCTTGTGAAACAAAGAAATGCCGAAGGCGGTTTTGCATCCACGCAGGTGAATATTATAACAACAAATACCAAATGATACAAATATAATGCTCGAATAATTCATTGATACAATTTCTAGGATACAGTAATTGGAATACAAGCCTTAGCAAAATTAGGTGAAAAACTAGCATCGAAGAATAATTCTATATCGATAACGTTTATGTACGAGGGTGGTGGACAGAGTCATATGAATATAAATCCTGATAATTCTATGATACTTCAGAAACAAGTCGTAAGTTTAAATTATGCGCTTTGCGCCGAATAATGTTCCTAATATTTCTAAATCTTTAGCTACCTAGAAAAGTACGGTTGGTTAATATAACAGCCGTTGGGAATGGATTCGCTTTGGTTCAAATTTCATTTCAATATAATTTGAACGTGACTGGAGCATGGCCGCTCTTTACATTGGACCCTCAAGTTGACAAAAACTCCAATGCCAATCACTTACAACTTTCTATTTGTTCTGGGTATGAGTTTATTTGAAGTTTCAAAAATATCGCTTACAATTATGTTATTTACTCGATACCTTGATTTTTTATAATAGATTTGTCCCAACTAAAGAAGCAAATGAAAGTAATATGGTTGTGATGGAAGTTAGTTTGCCGTCTGGTTTCACGGTGGATAGAGATTCGCTACCTAGTCTCGAGGTATCGCAAAACGTGAAACGTGTAGAAACCAAAAATGGAGATACAGTAGTAATATTATATTTCGACAAGGTATATAGAACAAAAAATATAGAATATATCAAAACATGCAAATTTCTTATACGAAGAAAAATTAATTTAGGTACGCCGTTTTTAAACATCAAAATTTGAATTTACAGATGGATAGACAAGAATATTGCCCTACAGTATCTGCATTCAGAACGCACAAAGTAGCAAAACAGAAACCAGTACCAGTTTCCATATATGACTATTACGATTCGTGTAAGTTATTCGACTGCTAAACAAAAATTGTTAATTTATAATATTTATAACAACTCTAAAGTAATATACTACTATGAATTATTGAACTGTTGAAATTCACTTCTTTAATGCTTGAGTAATTTCTTTTTCAGCAAGAAGAGCAAGAGTATTTTATGAACCGCAGAAAGCAACACTTTGCGATATATGCGAAAACGAGGACTGTGAAGATTTATGCGTTTCACAATTTGGTAAACGAAAGCATTCTCTGCAATCATCGGCTTCATACTTACCTACTTGCGTGTATCTACAGTTATTACTTTCACTCTTTTGCATTCAATACTTTAAATACTTGTAATTATAGCTTTCCAAAAATGATGTATAGCTTCATTAAAAAGTACAATAGAATTTCGTGTACACAGAAACTTGCAACCAAAGTACAGCATATGCAAGAATAATTATTTAACATTTAAGTAAACTAATATTAAACCTTTCAATTCGATGATTGAAAATTCTTAATTCCGCATTAAATAACATTTAAATACATTAGAAACTACTGTATATTGACAAATTAAGTATAAACCAATTTTTATTGTATATTGATACTTCTTATGTTACAGTAAATATACCTAGTTGTTATTTATAGCATGTTAATTTATATTTGTTTATTTATTTATAATTAGCTTAAATAAAAAAATATGAATTCTTTTACCTAAATTTTCCTTCAGTAATAAGACTTTCAAACGGTTCTATCCGAAGATTAAATATATATTTCTTATGCTTATATCAATGAACAATTAAGATCATAGTGCATATTTACCATGCTTTTTATTTACATTCCCCTATGCCTTTCCCATTTATTTCTTAATTTTTATAAATTTTGAAGTTCAATAATCCCTTATAATTATTCCAAATATAATTCATGTAATTGATTAGTTATAAACGATTACTAGAAGCGGTATCGACTTTGTAGTAACACCATTTATCATCTACTTTCTAAATCCTCTATTTCCTACTTCCACTTGTCTCCTGTTCCTTACTCCAGCTACTCCCCTCCTTTCTACTCTTTTAACTCCTCCCCCTCATCTTCTCCTTTTCCCCTCTTAACTCTCCCGCAACCCTAACCTCGCTTCCAGCAGTCGTTTACAACTAAAATTAAAGTTAACATTACCCTAATACAAAAGAAAATGAAACTAAAATAACACAACTTAATCTCTAGTCTTCATTACTAATTATCACTTACCACATTAGAAACATTCTTCTCTCCCTCTTAACTATCGCGACCCGACTCCTCCATCCATCTTCTTTTCTTTCTTCACAAATCCTTCCCTACCTTCGCTATTTCCTTCTTCAACCTCCCTCGCAATTCCTCTCTCACCAGGTTATACAAACCACACTGAAACACACACACCTTCCGCCTCTAATCATCCCTTTCCTTGCCAATGACCCTATTACATTATAATGATTTGCCCTTAGGCTGGAGACTAGCATAATAACTCCCCTATTCATCCAGGGTAGGTGTTTCAATATTGCGCTAAAAAGTGCATTAAAATAATGTCGCCATCTAATATCAGGGATTCGTACTGCTAAAATCGTACCAGGATCACAGAATGTTGGAGGGGGTATCCGGAGTAGAGGTTCCCCCACTCCTGTTACTCCTGATACGCAGTACCTTGATTATTCTTTAATAACTCCTTCTCTGTGATTAAAATATGAACTTTTAGAATTGGAGAATACAGTATAGACCCTTGGCAACATTCAAGGATAGTTATTATAACCATTCCAATATCGGAAGTCAACACATTCACGGCTGTATTACTGTCAACTTTAATCGATAAATTATCAAGTAAGTTTACAATAATATACATATATTTTCGCTATTAGGGAACCAAGAAGGCATCCGTGGCAACATTCAAGGACCGATTTTGCTACGCTCCTTGCTCTAATTAATTAGTTATTAGCTATAGGCTATAGATCTTTAAGGTGTCGCGTTAAAAGGTTAGAAACAGTGTGTCGACTTCTGATATTCGTTAATAACTATTTAATGAGACATGAAATGGTTATAAAAACTATCCTTCAATGTTGTCAAGGGTCTATACTATATTCTTCAATTCTAAAAGTTCATACTTAAACCCAGAGAAGGAGTTATTAATGAATAATCAGGAGTAGCAGGAGTAGGGGTACCTCTACTCCGGATACCTCCTCTAACATTCTGTGATCCTGGCACGATTTTAGCAGTACGAATCCCTGATATTAGATGGCGATACTTTGGCACTTTTTAACGCAATATTGAAGCATCTACCGCTTCTAGTAATCGTTTATAACTAATTAATTACATGAATAATATTTGGAATCGTTATTGAACTTCAGAATTTATGAAAATTAGGAAATAAATGAGAAAGGCATAGGGGAATGTAAATAAGAAGATATGGTAAATATGTACTATGATTTTAATTTTTTATTAGTATAAGCATAAGGGGATTTGTACTTGTTATAAGACTAGTTAAAAATAATATATAAAGCATAATGAAAACTTTTTTTATAAATTATTGTATGTACATACATAAATTGTAATTTCTTAACTAAAATTCATAATCTTCTGTAGGTGTCACGTTGTTGCGATTGAGATCCCGATGTTAATGTTGAATAGATGAATGGTAAAATTGATGTTAATGCTAGGCAAAGACCTATTACCGGTCGATACCATACCCAAGCAAAACCAATCACTAACATACTGATAGACATAGATACTGACATTGTTATTGATTCAATTGCAATAATTCCGCATAAGAATGCTGAATTCAAAATTACTGTTCTCAGTATATTTGCTAAGCACGTTGCTGCCAAAAACAAAACTAACCAGCCAAGACCTCTGAAATAAATTCAAGAAAGTTAAAAGATATTAAAGAGCACTTTTCCATAAGGGGATCTTACCTAATACTCCATGTACGCCAGTAATTGTGTACATGTTCTAAATGAAACATTTGGTCTACAGACACTTTATGTTTTCTCTGAAGTAAAATTTCTTCACCGTGAGATGTAAGATATGGTACAATAGTCCCTTTTTGTAACATACCAACTACAGAGTAAATTTCTCCCCCTTTTCCTGCATAGGAGAACTGTATACGTATATCTCCTACCTATCAACAAATATAATGATTCTTTAACATTTGTTAAATATTTAGTCATACTAAAACTATACCTGGGGATTCCATAAATCGGAACTATGGTAGTATAAACCAGAATGCATTTTGATATCTTTACGCTCGGGTCTTTCATCGCTGGTAACTTCTATAAAATCATTAAATTTTTTTTTTAATTCAGTCCCAAGGGTGAACACTCCAATTTTAGCTTCGTCTGCAATTTGTACTTGACTTTTAAAGGGCATTTCTTTTGGATTCTCATGACCAGTTCTAATGTAAAAACCGTCAGAATCTATAAGTTTATCCTTCCATTCTGTCGTATAATAATAATGCTTGTGTTCATCTGCCACCCCACCGAAACTGATATCCAATAATTGTTATAATTATTATAGAGGAAATGGTGAATTGTTTGTTTCCTTGCTTTATTAAATTACCTTTGATCTTCCTCTATCTCGATCCACTGATACATCTGAACTCTTCGTTTCAGTTTTATACTTGAAACAATTACTCCGTAGTCAGGTTCTGTTAATGGTTCTGATATATCCAACGGACCAGATAAATAAATTAAACGTCCTTCGTACTCAGGTAATAATTTTATCGAGTTTGGAAATACTGCTACATTATGTAAAGCTTCGTCTAAAGAATTTGCTACTTTTACTGCTCTTCCCTGTAATATTGTAAACGTACCTTGATAATACAAATTCTTTCAGTTTGATAAGATTTAGCATATCTACAAACCTCGTTCCAAAATAGAAGACACATGCCAGTTGCAAACATAATGAGTCCAATGATAGCAGTAAGCCATGATTCTCTAAATTGTTCGGAAACTGTCATTGGAGTATTTATAGGAGCAGGCTGTCTTCCATTGGCTAAATTCTGATGAATTGGTTCAGCATTCACCCTCTGAGGTTGACCATTTTGCTAAAAATATTATACTGCTCTTATCTAAATTATACTTTAATATTTTTGATGATTGGTTATGTATAAAAATATAGCTGTTTAGGTAGTACATACGAAGTATACAATCTATATTTAATTAAATACTATATAATATATATTATATTATTTCAAACAAAGGTTCAGAACATATTCATAGATAATTAACTATTTACACGATATGATAAGACATTTTTATGCTTACATTTGCGCGATACATTTTAATAGATCACATTATACAACGTGACAACGCTTAACTTGCCCACTGAAACTGGTATTGTCTAAAGTAACATTTTATATATAATTTTAGATCAGTCTTATTTCAATGTGCATATTTCAATCGCATTTCGTTCACGAACAACTATGTTCAAAATTAAACTATGAATATTGTCCAATCAATTGCACGCATTGTATATACAGTGCGGTACAAAAGTGTAGGCACGATTCAGTATTCGATATAAAACCGATTATAATTATGAGGAGAAAAGATAACAAACATTTTAATCTTATGGTAACATTGCTTTATCGTTAAAAAAAAAGTATAAAAAGAATGATTAGTGTTTATGAATGCTATACATTTATATTGAAATAGTATTACATATTATGTCAGTTACACCTGTACGAAAATATTGTTAGTTTTAAGAAAAACAAAATGCATTTCTTTGTAATCCCTTTGTATCATTGAAATAATACTTATTATATGTAAGAGAATTCACAATATGTTCAAGAACCATAATTTTTACAGCAATGCAATTAACAAAATAAATATAACATAGTAAACAACGAATGCAAAGAAAAAAATCGTTGTTATTAAAGATTGCAGCACAATTGAATAAAAAATACGAAAATGTAGTTAATTCTTTAATGAACTGATAATTTCTTAAATAAATTCCAATTTCAGTAGTGACATATTTTATTGTATGCAACTGCATCCATTTTCGTTTGTTGCAACGTTGATGACGCTGTAAATCACGTGCAGGTGCATTGAGAAATTATAATAAATGGCGTTGATTGAATCAGAATGTAGCTAGGGGGTAGGGGTAGGGGCTTGATTCTTCTCGCTACGCGAGGAGTGGGGGAGCAGTGCCGCAGCCGCAGCCCGCAGCATTCGCTGTTCAGGCCTCGTGATGTGAGGACGCTTCCGTGAAATAGTTATCGGTTCATTGTCAGAAACGTGTGATGTAACAAAAACATTTAAAGAATGTTAACAGGACAAAATCCGAGAACAAGAAAGAAAAGAAGAGGCACATGTAAAACGTTATTAACATGAGGTGGATAACTATTTCATTTATTTTGTGTGTATTTGGATGCTTCAAAGAGTTCAGGCCTTCGGAATCTTTTGTGACTGATTATTTAACCGGACCGTGGAAAAATTTTACAGATGCACAAGTAAGTAAAAGTTTTAATATATGTTTAAAATATAAATATTGTCAGTTTAACTCTGGCTGTCAGCGTGCCTATACAAAAACTGCTATTGGCCAATGCAATGGTCCTGTGTGTTTACATTCAGATTATCTAGATTGCATAGATGGGCCTAGCAGCCAAAGGATTAAACATCATACAGTATATATAAATTTTGTTAAATTTCTTACAGAAGTACAATAATTTTTCAGGTTAACCAAGAAATTTTTCCTATTTCTACGTATTCTTATTTTGCAACTTTAATTGTTATATTCTTAATAACAGACTTTGTACGATATAAGCCCATCATTATTTTGTGCGGCTTTTCTGGAATTATCACTTATCTTCTAATTATATTTGGGCAAAATGTTTTACTTATGCAAATTATGGAATTCTTTTATGGATTGTTTCTTTCGACCGAGGTAGCATACTATACGTATATTTATGCTAAAGTTGACAGGAAGCATTATCAAGAAGTAACCAGCCACACAAAAGCAGCATCTCTTGTTGGACGTTGTATGGCTGGTGTTATTGCACAAGTAACAATTTCTTTAGATGTGTTAGATTATCATCAACAAAATTATATCACAATATCGGGTATTTATTTTTATACAACTAAAAATCTTGATATAATAAGAATAATAATATTAGAAAGTAGTTTGTTTTATTCAAATTATTAGGTTCTAAACATTTTTTAAATTTGCAAGCAACATATGTTTAATCTATTTAAAAAAATTTACATCTTTTCACATAAAATAAATTCTATTTTATAGCTATTATATTGGCAACGATATGGGCATTTTTTTTGCCTTCTGTTGGCCAATCTATTTATTTTCATGCAAAGAATGAAAACCATATTTTGATAACAAATAACAATGTGACAATAGCATTGGAACAACAAAGTCACATATCACATACACCTGAACAGCATATCGGGTATACCTCTGTTAAAACAGATAATTTATTGATACAAAAAGTAAGACAGGCCTATATTTTATTATGGAAAGATTGTTTACAAGCATATTCAAATGGTCATGTTGTAAAATGGTCACTATGGTGGGCCTTTTCAACTTGCGGATTTTTACAAATTAGTAGTTATATACAATTACTTTGGCGAACTGCAGTTTCCTCTGGAGATAATGTCTATAATGGAGCTGTAGATGCTCTTTATACCATTATAGGTGAGCAAATATTGTAAATACAATTTGATTTTTTACTTTACATTGCAGAGCTATATATGTACACCATAAATAATTAATTGCTTCTTTAAGCTCTCAATACTTTATTTGTACAAAGATATCAATGCTAGATAACTAATGTACAATTTTAAATGATAACAGCATGATTCAGCAATAATTAGCTGGATATTTCCGTATCTAAAACTTGTAGTTTTCTAAATCAGAGATATGCGTACTGAGTTCAAAATTTATTCTTGATAAGAATTGAGTTGAAATAGAAGCTTCTATGTAATATTATATTATTGCATGTATTACCATTGTGTAATTATATTTGATAAATACAGGCATAATTCTGATTTTTATTATTAGGTGCAATCACTGTATTTTGTATAGGAAAAGTACCACTTAACTGGTCCTTATTAGGGGATATAATAGTATCACTTATGTCATTTGTGGAAGGTGCATTGTTAGTATTCTCTTCATACAGTTACAGTATTTGGTTATTATATGTTTCTTATATATTATTTGGAATCATTTATCAAACAATGGTTACTGTTGCAAGGTACATATCATTTTAAATCCAATTATTTCCTTTTATTACAATATAATTCCATAGACTTTGTATGAGATTATATGCATAATTTACAGCTTTGAGGTTGCAAAATGTATATCAGAGGACAGTTATGGTTTAATATTTGGTATAAATACCTTTTTTGCACTGTTACTACAGAGTGTACTAACAGCTATAGTAGTAAATGGAAATTTGGGATTAGCTCTGAGATCTCAGGTAGGATTAACCAGTTGGGTATTTACTTAGAATTTTAAATTTTCTATCCTGTATCTTTTTTCTAGTACATTATCTATGGTGGTTATTTCATTGTGATAGGAATGCTGTACACAATAATGGGCATATTTAATATTGTACAGCATTCTAAAAGTGGTATGAAGTTTAAAATATGGGTGAAGGAGGAGAGTGTCATAAAAGAAATACATCCTAAAGATGATAGAACAGCTGTGAAAATGACAAAGCTGTAGTTGGAACTACAGTTTTTTAGAAATCTAATTAAATAACAATTTGTACCTTTTAAAAGTATAAAAGCCATATGTAGCTATAGAATAGCCATAAAATGATCGTTTATTAAGTATTTAATTAATATATTTTTTTAGAAAGTTTTAAGAATTTGTAACATATTTTAAACAGTTCCTTATTATTTATTTTGATATTCACACCATTCAATTTGCATCCATTAGAGTAAATGTTTTTTTGAACAAATAATAGTAGGTACTCTGTTATTCTTTTACGTTATTGTAAATTAGACAAACCAAAGTTGTAAATATTATTACTATTGTCATTGGTATTGTTACATAAAAAAAATATATTGATTTTGTTATTAAATATGACTTTATTTTATAAGCAATATCAGTCCAAATACTCCTTTGACAATATTCAATTATCTGGCTTCTGTGGTAATTAATAGTAATCTTATTTTATCCAAAACAGGTTCCCTACATTTCTAGAATATAAAAGATTTTTTTTTACGTTAAAACTACTTTTCCTCGTATATAATTTGCTCACGTTGTTATTATTATTTCCTTGAATTGTTTGAAAACGCTTACGGATGAAAACGTTTGAAATAGACATCTTCCCAGTTCGCGACGTGGATTTGCATTTTTATCGAAATGTTTGAACAACTTCCACCATACCGCACAATCTTGAATGCTCTGTTTGAATTCCTGGCTGATATTGTCCAATGTGTCGTTTCGCATTATAGACGCAATGGATTTCATTGATTCGTCCTCAATTATTTTCGAAAACATACAAGGATAATCGTCACAATCGTTAATGTTGACGTGCAATTTGTCAAGTAAGGCAGTGTCTTTCAAACAAATTTTTAATATCTACACGAGTGATTATTGTAACGAATAAAAATGTATTTTAATATATTCTCAGGTAATAAAAAAAATGCATACGATCGGTAGTAAAATTTTTTTTACCAAGTTTGGCGAAACCAATACAGGATATGTTTCGAAGAGGCTCGTGTCTAATTGATCAACATCTGTATTTATATTGGTGTTTTCTTTACCGGTTATACTTGATATTTCAGAAGCACGATCATCGTTTCTCAATAATATTAACGGTATACCTATATCAACATCACATAGTGTCTTCGATAAATTATTTAAATAGTAATGAAATTATCATACCTAGTAGTAGCGTTATCATTATGAAACTATTTTAAGAGTAATAGTTTTTGTTGAGGGGTCACAGTAATTCGTGGATGCTGTCAAAATTTTATCTACTATTGAATTGTGTAATTCATCGATAAGATAATGACACGAGTAAGCTGAATGTAATAAAAGACATTCTCAGAAACATTTGCGTCATTCACCAAAAATTGTAAAAACAATAAAATCTATATCATAGTAATCTATGCGCTTATAATTAAATTCTACTTCAGCCAAAAGACAAGACAAGAGAAATGTGAGTTGTTTATTAAATGAGGAATGCTTAATTTAAAATGGCGCGATGAAAATATACTTTTACAGTTGTTAAACTTTGATAATGAACGTGTTGGTAGTTAATAAAAGATAAATGATATTTTATTAGTTAGTCGTAGAATAAAAATCAGCGTTTTGAATCGTAGAATCAAGTTATATTAATTTTTTAACCGCATCGAGAACAACAGATTCACAAGCTTTCGCAGCTTGTCGCGTTAAACAGGACCCGATCTCTTCGAGACGGGTCAACTCTAATCGATCTTCCGCTATGGGGTACTCTTCTATATTGGCACGGTGTTTTCTCGTCATTGTTAACTGTAATCGATCGAGTTCAGTTTCTTCCTCGGGAGTTAAAGGTTCTGGAAAATAATCGCGATATGGAATTACTGGATAAATAAAACGATTCCTTTCTTTTATATTTGTTACTAATACATTTTTTAAGGGTACCAATGCACCTTTTTTTTTTAATTGGTCAAACAACATGTTTGTTACGATATTTTTAAGAAGTCGAATAGCGAAAGTCTCGTCTAAACAATGATACCAGCGACAGAATATTTACTTTTATTTTCAAGTTCCGTTATTTTGTTCATTAGCGATCGTCGAATGGCTTTCATTTCCTTAGCAGCTTGTCTAGCTTTCTTCAATTCTTCGTCCAGTTCGTTTTCTTTTTTCTTTCTCGAACGTTTTCGAGCAGCCTTCGAGTCACGCGAGCGTCGATGTTTTTTCAAGTACCGTTTCCTCCTGCTTTTTACCTTTAATTGAAAACTTATCGATAAGCATTAAAAGTAAAACATTCTGTGTTATTTATGAGCGAAATATTGGTATTCAATTTCGCTTATCTGTACTTGTTTAACATCTACGCAGTGTATTTATCTGTACTTATTAATCGGCTCACGTGACTGCTTAAACGCATGCGAATTAATCGTTTCTCTTGAACGCGTCTGTATATTTGCCAGAGTTTACCGCAAATCTCAGTTCCACGAAGTAGCTTCGATCTTAAGCCGCGATCGGAAAGATCTTGAAACGAGGAAACGATTTTCCCCATGTTGAAATCGTCTTGTCCACCACCCTGGTTATAAAACAAAGTTGATATACAAATTACAATGAGATAACAATATTTATTTCGTCGATTTTTACGTAACTTTCTGGAAAGCAATGGTACTTGGAAAATATTTCTATCGCACGAACTAAGGCTCGAGTAAAAATACTATTTATTCTGGGACCGTGTTGGTGATTATAGTTGTAATTTATGATGAAGTTTTCAGTGCCTTCCTGTTTTTCATATTACGAAATACCGCGCTCGTCGACATGCCGGCCTTGTCATTTATTTCCCTGTTTTTATTCCAGTTAACTCTGGCAAACCATTCCTTTTGATTTTTAATAGTTTGTGCCAAATCAAACCGTTTTCGTTTGTAATCACAAATTCAATGGAAGAGCGCCAGAAAATACAATTTTTCTTTCATTTGTTACGCAACTCTTTGATCAGCGAAATATTTTTGTTAGAGGCAAATTGTTAAAATAACAAGTTTGTGTACTCTTTCATACACATTTAGCAATTTAATGTTACCTTTTGACGATATTTTTTACTCTGAAAATTTTTTTAAATTTTACAAAGGAAGTTATCTAGATGTGAATATTTTTGTAAAACGACGAGGCAAATTGTTGAAATAACAAGTTTGTGTACATCGTAGTAAATACTCTTTCATACACATTTAGCAAATTTAATGTTACCTTTTGACGATATTTTTTACTTCGAAAATTTTTAAAAATTTTACAAAGGAAGTTATCTGGATAAATTATTTGAAAGAAAGAACATGGTAGATCGACGTGTTAATTTTTACAATAGTTCAATATATTAATTGCTAAAGTTACGACGGGACTGGAGTGTAATTATTTAGTTTGTACCAATTCGATGAACGTGCAATCCCAATCGATTCCATCGTGTTGGCATTGCATGGTCGCCTTTTCTATTTCCTCGGAAATCTCGATGTATTTCATGCAGTACGCGAGTACCCAGTTGCGAGGTATGTCGATCACAGGTAAGACTCGCCATACCTTCGCCGTGATATCGTCCAATATTTTTAGCGACGTTCTGTCACTGAAGCTGGGGAATTCTGTGGGCGACAGTTCCGTTCCCCGAAACTCTTTCTCTTTGGTAAGATCCTGTCGCTGAGGTCATCGTAAAAAATATCACTTATGCTTTTCGAAGGTTCGTTCGATAATTATGTCTCTTGGAAACGAAATTGATCGACTCCATAGATTTAAATTAGTATTTCGTACCTGCTGCAAAACGATGCAAGGATCGAACGTTGATTAAAAAATTGAGAAATTTGTAAAAATTGGAGTCGATCGGTTTGGTCTCCCAGAGGACCAGTTGATAAACGACTATTAATAAGTATTAACATGTGACTTTTTCGTAGGCTCGTTGGCCTTGGTTGCCTTGGTCAAAGTGGGATTGAACATGATCGTACAAACCAAGATATATTCGACTCCTAGTAAGTGCTTCAGCATTGGTTAGCAGAGTTCATGGGAAATTTTCTATCATCGTACGTGACGCTGGGCTTCGAAACATTTTTTGTAGCGTGGAGTTTAGTAGACTACTTATACAAAATGTAGCTTTATTATCTTATATTAACTAGACGAAAATTCGCTAGACTCGTTTGATCATCGTATTGCGATTAGGTTACGAATTATCGGGCTGAAAGATTATTCGACTGGCTGGCCATGAATTTGGCAATTGTTCGTGTTCGTACACGACTCGATCGCGATAACGGATTTCGTTCAAAATAATTGAAAAATTGTAGGAGAAATATTTAAAATGATGGAAAGAATGCGGCGATGTAGGAAAATTATTATAAGAGAACTGATCTCACAAATGAAACGTAACGTCTTCGGTCTATAAGCGTTCCTTTATTGTTCAATTTAGACCTAGTTAACAGTTCGATAAGGTTACACATAACTACCTGTTACTCACCGGAGTTCGGGAACCATTGCATATGTTAGGCAAAAACACAACTTTTGTGCAGAAACACAAATTTTAAAAAACGGTTTAACGCTTACAAAATATATAATTTTTATAAATTCATAGTATTCATGTCCATTTATAGTAGAATCAGGTTCAATAAATAACAACTGTTTTTACTGTATCTTGTGCAATTTTCTCTTGAAAAATTAATAAGAATTATCTATCTTTAGATTAATTATTGGTCGAAGCGTATCCTTGGATCGATACGCATAGTATGCAAGAACTATCGATCGACTCGTGTCAGGTTTCAAGAATATCAGAAAGAGGAATTTCCTACTAGATGCCACGATAGCAAAATCGTCAAACTGATGATAATAAAGTGCAAAAATATTAGCACAAGTAGCAGTGACAGCAAATTTAATGCAATGGCAACGTTTCCATTTTTATTACTATACTTAAATTTAGTGCGTAATCTGCATAATTCACAGAAAAAAATTCAGTAAGATTTGCCGTTTTTTAATTCGATCAACTGACGCTTCGGTCTGTGAATTCAGGAAATAATACAAAATGGTTTATATAAAAACGACTGGTATTATGTAGCCTTATCACGAAAGATAGCATCTAAATAAGTTTCTTGAAAGTAAAAATCTTAGAAATATTCAAATAAAATGTCGGTCTTATGCGAACTGTATTATCGACCTGGTAAAAAACCAGTGGTTTCCGAGCGACCTCTTCGCTCAAAGAACGGCGATCTTGGGAACTACGGTCAATTGATCTACCGAAATCGGTAATTTTATTACTAACAATTTTGTCCAATATTTAAAGGTACCATTTTAAATTCGTGGCCATTAGCTCGGTGTTACCCATGATAAAAAAGTTTTTCTTCGTTTTGTTCGTAAGAATATAAGAGTCGAACGTAAAATTATTTCTTTCTCACAGTTAGAATTTTATTTAATATTTAATTTACGCCTCTTCTATACAGAAAAATTATTGTCGAGGACTAAAAGTGCTAAATTTGAATTCCAGTGTAATAGAAAAAAGCATTCTACGCATCGTCTGTTTTATACCTCCAGTGATGTTAGTCACTGGTGGTCAATAGTGTTACCATTCGTCAACTATAATAATCAAGAGGTCAGGGATCTTAGTACTTACTACTCATTAACTTTGATGATATAATTGATTGATAAAAGTAAACGAGGACATCGAAGAATCTTTGATTCTTTCTATTCCTCCTTTTCTTCAGAGCAAGTGTTTTGATCGATGATGGACCAGTGTAACCCCGGTGTAAATTCGAATCGTGTAAACATATTTTATCAACATTCTTCTGGGAAACGTTTCAATGATCTTCTTGAACTCATTCAAATTCCAGATAATTTAAATTTATGTCAAGCCGACGTACTTTCCCAGATAAATCCATTCATTCAAAGATCAACGCGGATTGTAGTGACGATAAATTCCGGGAATATGATGGCCGTTGATTGTAAGAAAAATAACAAACGAAAGGAAAGTTGCGAGAACTGCATCTCGACTCTACAATCGAACACATCTTAGATCATTATGAATCTTAAGACACTATTATAGGTAATAAACACTTTATATTATTCCAAATTCTCATTTTATAAGTTGATGATAAACAAAGTGATATTAAATGCAAAATTTGAGATGAAATAATGAGTTATTTGTTTAAAATTTTGCATAATACATAATCTCGACTTGTAAGGCAACAGTTGTGACAAAGAGTCGTATTTCCTTCAGTCAAGTTCAGGAAGAATGAGCACCGTGTTTGGAATAATAAAGATCCCGTGTGTGGAATTAAGAAGACGAGTTCCAAACACATTATTTAAATACAAAAATTGGCAAACCCTCGCGTTTCTCTTGTTCGCGTTGAAAATTTAATGTTTTAATCAAAATTAAAATTATATATGTCAGAACCACGTGGCTGGTATCGACGCGTCCATTATTAAAGAAATTACAATTTGGCGAAACGAACCTTTTGTATTATTACAACTAGACTGACAAGTGTTCTAATTGGATAAGTTTTAATCGCCTCTGACAATCGTGAAATGGAAAATGTCATCGAGTATCTAGATTAGACTAATGTGTGCTTTGTATCTGCAAATGGCGCCGATGTCACGATATGCGTATTGATTTTTTGCCGACGTTTGAACAGATAAATAAGAACAAATATAAACGATGGCACGTATCATTTATCGTCGTTCGTTTTGTTAAGGTCACATAATGAGAAAAAATAATTTATATTAGATAAAGAGCAAAACTTCAGTTTCGTACTAGCAGCCATTTTTATTAACGTCTGAAACGTCTTAAACGCAAGTAATTCCTAGAATATTAGACGTCATTGACGTTTCATCAAAACAATTATGAAAATTTGCGGTGCGACTTATATCGAAGCACTCTGTGATGCTTTTAGCTGCATAGTAAATGTATTCAGGTATAATCCGAGAAACAATGATCACCTTTGAATTCCGCAAAATGAATACAATCGTGTGTAGCCTTACATTACATAATCCACGGTTGAGTTTCAATGTTTCACTCGATATAGCTAATTGGCTACAACAGCAAGGCGTTGTAAAACTATTATGGAAATTCCACACTCGTTACCTATTCGAGATTACCATTTAGCCATTTTTAAAAGCAAGTCTTTCTCAACTTTTTAGTTAAACAAACTTTCGCGTAGATAAGCTATTCAGGATATAATTTCGACCTTTTCTATCAAACATTCAAGAATTCCTAAAGAAAACCATTTAAATAATTTCTCGAGAACAAGTTGCTATTTCAAGTTTCAGAACCGGCCGTGCATGATTTACACACTTGTACCTATTAAATAAAAATGATGCTTCAATGTTTATCGTGCAACGTTGAAATTATCGAGGATTTTATCTTTCCGATGCGTAAATGCACTTTAATATCAATTCTGCTTCAACAAAAGGCAATTTGTAGAATTCCAAGGTAGGAATTAAACTCGGTGGGTCAAAAGTGGGTAGAAAACCGCAGGGCAAGAGTGTTTGAATCATAAATTAAGACGCAAGCATCTCTTAATTGGCCTCCGCGTTTTTTAAGCGTTGTTCTCTTAAATTGCTCGTTGTACCGTTTGACCCGTCAATTATTCCGATCTGGCCAGCGAGCTTCTTTTCGATTCGCTTTCTCTGGCGATCGGCCAACGTCGTAAAAGTGAACTCGCCTGTTATTCACGGCGATGGTCAAAATCCGGAAGAGCGGAGAGAAACGCTCGTGCATCCAAATTGCGTCGATACGACGCGAAAATGCGATTCATTTTCGATTATCGGTGGTGGGAATGGTATCGAATCGATACTATCGATACTACGACTGAGATACTTTGACAATGGCGTCACGAAGTGTTCGTAATCCGGGATTTTTAATTTTTAACGGAGAATGGACAACTTGTAAGATAATTTAAAAATTCCTTTATATCGATATATCAATCACCGAATTTTAAGAACTGTTGAAGTATATTTTTATTCTTGCCCGCGGGAACATTTTGTTTTCTTTCGTATTGGCGTCTTTTAAAAAGTTTAGACACTACCGATCTAAATTGTGCATGGAAGAAGACGCGATACAATCGGTCGTTGACACCAGGTCCTCTAAAAGAGGAATTTTATCAGGGTTAGATTTCTCCTAGCCCCTTCTCTACTCCATTAGTCATTCTGTTTTTATTCACTATGGATTTATGCCACGAGCCATAACACAAAATGTGAATGTCGGTGTTCACACAGTACAGGGTGTCTCATAACATCCACGCAGCTATCTACGAAACCAACGATGTCCCAAAAAATACTTTGCTTCATGAGATTTCAAAGACACTTTGACTGTTACTTTGAGATCCCAGGAAATTCCCTATTCCTCTTCGTCAGCTCCTGAACCCTCTGGATCCTCGTCTCGAGGGGTCCACTATCGACATTCGTTAGTTTCGAAGTAGCATGAACGAGGACTCGAGCACGTACTTTTCTTGCGTCTGTTTTAGGAGTTTCGTGATCACAGATTTCGGCCATGCTTCAAGGATTTTGACCCAGCGCGCGATCGTGCGTACGTGCGTACGCCGCGAACTGTATCAACGATTTCCAATCGTGACGCGCGTCGCGTCCCCTCCCCGCCGTCCTCGTTTGGGATTTCCTGACAATGAAGCTATTACGACCGGGCATTTCCACTATCGTAGAATCAACATCGGGCTCGGCTGGAAAGGATTCGTGCCCGATGAGTAGACGCGACACCCGACTCCCCGAGTAAAACCGTGGTGGGGAACCGGTCGTGAAGCCAGTTACTCGCTGGCATCTCGGCGTTACTTTTCCATCGTGCATTCAGTTCAGCTTCGTTGCGAGCAATAACCGGACGTTTTTTCGTGTCGAGGAAACATCGCAAACAGAAGGATCGAAACGCGTGGATCAGCTACGATGCGTCTACAACCGGTGAGTGGCGTCGATTTCTTTCGATCTCTTTCCTCCGACGCGTTGGAACCAGAGATGGCCGAAATTCTTCTACCCAAACGAAAGTTAGCAAAACAAAACGCGCAAAATGTATAGAATACATCGAATAACAATTAAAACGAAAGGTTTATTCGAACATTGTTTTGTCCATCTCTGTATCGAACGCGTTGTTTACGTACAGCGTTAGCGGGAACGTTTGCGTACGCATCCGAAACGACGTTGCAGTTAGATAAATTAGTAACAGTTATATAAAATGTTTTCACAATTGCGAGATAATCCAGCGATTTTATATTGCAGTTTGTTATTTTCGACGTGGAGTACGATCGAACTCGCTGTGTCAGCGACGATTAGTTAAATAATTGTTTTCAATTCCCGGTTGAAATAATAAAAAGGTTGTGAACGAAAGATGGACGATATATTTACATATTTAAATATTTGTGTTAACGTCTCTGCTTGAGCTGAAGCAATATTATTCGATAATGAACACAGATGTTCCTGTTGATGATTTCACCTTGATGTTCCTCGAACTTTTCGTACGACAACACGAACTATTCTATGGCAATAAAAATCATGGCCTTTCGCTCGTTACGGCCGTGATCTTGCCACATCCGTGCCCATTATAATCCAGTTTAGAGCTTGCCTTTTTTATTTGCTTCGATTTTGTTATTCGTTGGTAAATATTGAAGAATCATCAAAACTCCACGCCTCCCTCCTCTTGATCTATAGGCGTCAACTATTAATATTATGCTGACAGAAAAACATGTCTAATTAGTCGTCGATGACAATCGTTTCGCAGAGTTTCAAGCGTTTCCTACGATCCGCGAAGATTATTTTCGGTGCACGACCCTTGGCTATCTTGGTACCAGGAAAATAAACCGTGATAGCTTATCGCGTTGCATGTATTTTCTCATTTTTTAACGTTAATCTTATCCTCGGAGATGGGCAAAATTTTATTCGAACGATAATTAACAAATACAATCAACGGATTCACGATTTACTCGATTGAACAGATTTCTATTTATTCTATAAACAAATTGACAATTTGAAAAATGAATCAAACGTAAAAATTGGATACTATAATGCTTGTATTATTATTCTATTCACCTGAATATCTTCGTCATTCGCAAAACATTCCAAATAAGAATTTCGTCCATCTCGATCGCGATTTTCCAGCGCGAAAACAGTAAAACGTTTCGCGCGTCGCTTTATGTCAGAGATTTCGCGGACCGTGAAGAACAGTTTTAGAACTTCCTGTGATTTTCATTGCTTTTAAGAGAGCGATAACGCGACGATGTCGTGAAATTCTCATCCGCGAAGACTTCGAACGTTGGTCGCGTCGCGAAGGCTACGTTCGAACGGTGGCTAATCGTTTGCCGATGATTAGATTTTAATTTCAGTTTTTGTGTATAGCTGACGAATGGTGTAGCGACCGATTACGCATCTCGTACGTGTTTCATTTGCTAAGCCGGACACGTACGTGCGCGAAGAATTCACTTGTCACGCCACGGTCGTTTCTGACGGCATTGGCGGATATTCGGCGCGATCTTCCGAACGCTGGTTATCTGGAAAATTATGCGAAACCTATTATACGCTGTTTCGAAGCTCCTTCGACAAAATAACAAACGCTCGTCGCGTGAAACAGCGTTCAAACAAGATGCTAACAAGCGTAGTCGGAGCTAATTATTTTGCACGCAAACGTGTCGACTCTTAATTTAAAAGCAGTCTAATTGCATATATTGCTTGTTATATTTACAGTAAACATGGTTGAAACAAGCTTATTTTTAGATAAACGCGTCGATTATTAATTTGGGCGCTCTTTAGCTTACAATATCTCAATATATGGTCAGTATAAATTAGATACAAGTGTACTATTTTGCTTTTTTGTTTGACAATTTAACTTCTGTTCGATATAAAATAGTTTTTTTGCTAGTCATCGGTCGATTATCGAGCCACTCATATAAATGAACTTTTATCATAAGCATACAAATACAGTTGTACGTAAACGTATTCACACACTGTAGCTTGTTTGTTTATTTTATACATTAGTGTATGGCAAGTACAATCCACGCTGCTTAGAATCGAAAAATGCACACGCGTTAAATGTTCCTTATCAACGTAAATATGTTGTATAATATCTTAACGGAAAATGTGCTGTTGAAATTGAGAGTCAGCGAAGAAAAAAAATGTTAAGGGAAGTTGCAGAGATAATTCTCGCTCGATAGTGTCAAATCAAAGTGTCAAGCGTTTGAATATACAATTTATAGATAAAATTGAATGTTGTCAAACGAAGAACTGGATAGTTTCGTACGAAATTACGTAAAATCCGTTCTGTTATTTGCATAAGGGGATACCAAAGTGGAATAATCAACCGAGTTTCTCACGCGTCCGGGTCATCCTATCAGGAACAAACGTAAAGGCGCGGTGGTTTTCTCTTGCTTTCGTCACACGAAACCCGTCACACGTTAATTTCAGACAAGAAAGTCGGACTCTATGATGTCACGGTGTGGCCGTTACTTTCACCTGTCCCGATGTTTGGTTTTCTTTCGATCGCGGATCAGAAATTTTTTGCCGAATTCCTCGTCGTGACGCAAATACCCCCGTACATCCACGTAGACATTTTTATATTTAATAAAATATCAAATTTGTCAAGTTACGTTTGACATAAATAGGGATACGCAACGGAAGTCTAAGTTCCATAATTATGTCATGTTCGTTGCAATAAAATTCCACGTAAAGCAAGCGCACAAATAAAGTAGTCTAATTTATAATAAATCGTAGCTTTTCAAGAACAAGAACACTTATTATTATTGTATCTAGCTTTTTTAAAAGAATTGTTCAACTTGAATACTATCGATGTTTACGTTTAAAAAAAGCACTTTCCATACTAGATACTAGAGTTATTTCAAAATAGATTATTTGTCAAATAACTCTGGAAGTTAATTTCAAAACAGTACATTTCGAAAATTTGTCAAAACTCCCGGGTATTCTACGAATATCGACTCGTTTTCGTACAGTATAGATAACGTTCTAATCTTCCAATTTGCAATTCGTAGATCTAAAAAAAAGCTCGTCCGGTGCCAAAATACTCACGTGGCTCTATTGTAATCGCGCAACGCCTAGTTATAGTAATCAGACCGTGACTCCTGCACGGAATAAAAAATGTCGCGGACAGCGATGATGTGTATAGTGAATTCGTTCGCCGGTATCGGCGTCGACCTCGCGCGCAGCGTGATCTCGAAACACGCATAAATTACTATCAGAGGTCACGGCCGCGCCGGTGACCGAAATGAAGCCGATTGCAAAATCCTGACGCTGTACGAGAGCCGCTCTTGTTATTGTTTCGTTCTTAATTTCTTTTTCCTCGTATCTACTCGGCTCGAGAGCATCTCGTCGCTTTCTCTGGACGTCGATGAGAAAGTCCTCTCTTCGAAACCGGCTCCCCAGTTGCTCCTCCTCCGATCGATACGTTATCAATGAAACAATATTTTCCCCGTATCAGAAAATTATCGTTCCGTGCCATTTCAGCGACGCAGAGTCGGGGAATATAACAACGCGGCTCGCGAAAGTAACTTTTAATAATGAAAATTCAATATTTGCTCTATTTGGCATCGTAGATACAATCGTTTAGCCGAGCACGATCGTTGGACTTTCTACATCATAACAAACTATGTTTGTGACGATAAAATATAATTGTTAAGGAGACCTAGACACTTCTGAAATAACATTATTTGCAGTCTTTCGGATTATTTGTTTGAAAATAAATTACTTCAAACAGTTATTTTTTACTTTTATTTCGATTTGCTCAGGTCTCTTATTAAATTACGACCTCTTTATAGGTATGATTCTTTTTAGGCTTTGTGAAAATATATTAACTCATAATGCTTTTGTAGATTATATTAATTAATATTTGTACGCATTGTAGCAAGAATGGTAGTAGTTAATGACTAGCATAGGGCCAAAGAGGGATTTCTCTATCGTAAACATTTCTCAGATCTTTATGGCTCCGTGCAACACTTGCCATGCGATGCACGCCATTGCGAAATTCACTGTTAGGTCTGGGCGATGGTTTGCATTTATTTGGGACGCATTGTTCCACATTTGCGCCCGATTTTAAATCGCGTAGCGCGCGGCTCGCACTTTCGAATTTTCTTCGCACGGTTCGCGCGCGGCATAACCGCGATTATGTTGCCAATCAAGCCGTAACGGTGGGTCGCGGAAGATGGAAATGTCGTTTACTCGCGGGTATTTTGTAACATTACAGGAAATCGCTCGAGACGTCTCCTGGATGTTTTTTTTTTAAAAGGTGCAATTTATTTTTGCGCAAGTTCTGCATGCGTTCCGGTCGACGCGAGTTTCATCCGCGTTTCGCTTCGCCGAGAGTCTTCGATTCGTAATTGTTATTAATTTTCTTGCGTGTCGGGTCGTAAAATGATCGATAGCCATTCTTCGACTCGACGGTTCAGGTTGTGAAACTTCACCGATTAAAATACTGGTTGCTGACTAAACGTCGCTCGCTTTTAATAGTTAATCTTCGCGATACGATCGACGTGGTTCGTCTTAATTTTATTGAACATTTTCCACAGTTTTCCCAGCGGACATCGAATTCTAAAGAACGCTTTTTTTTGGTGTATTTTGTCAGAATAAAATTTACATTAAAATTATATTTTTATTAGTTTTTGTCAAATCAATTCCTCCAACTAATCGTTCTATTTTTTTAGGCAATGTCGGTGATACCAGCGCTGTTTATGCTGAGCAGCGTCACGGCGCAATGTCTCACCGGCGACGACAATCCTGCGATGATGAATCCAGGCTCGAAGAAGGCGTTGACTGACGCTCGATTCGGTTTCGCCCTGGAGAGTCTGAAAAAAACGGCGATGATCGAGTCGCGCGACAACATATTCTTCAGTCCTCACAGTATTCATCAGGCTCTGACCCTGGCGTACTTTGGCGCTCGCGGTACCACCGAGGAGTCCTTAAGGAAAGCCTTGCATATCCCGAACGATCTGTCCAAGGTCGATGTGCAGCGATACTACGCTTACGAGAAATCCCTCAGGCAACAACTCGAATCTCAGGTAAGAAGACTCTCGTTGCTCTATGGGTTGCGTCATCAACAAAGTCGATCGACGATTCCAAGGCGAGCCACGTAATCCGACAACCGGATGTAAAATTCTTTGATATACCGCTATTCGAATATTATTAATCAAATAAGCAAGTATTCGTATCTTTATTCACGGGATGCAAATGAAAAATTACAAAATTGCGTTTGGAGGCTTATTAACTTTTAATCGAGACAAACTTTGTGACAATTTGTTTTTATACAGAGAAACGCTTCTTAACCGTGTTGAAATTTGATATCATTTTGTAATTGTTTAAATTAAAATTAGGGTCTATCCAATGGTACTTTCGAATCGAATAACATAGAGAAATGTAACATGCCACCACAATTGATTTCTCACTCTTCGTTTAGGGTAATTCATCGGGCACAGGCGAATACACGTCGGCAAACAGATTGTGGATAACGGACACGCGAAAAGTGCGAGAATGTATGTTGGACTTTTTCGGCGATCAGCTGGAGAAGACCGATTTCCACAGCAATCCATCAGCAGCTCGCGATCGCATCAACGATTGGGTCAGCAACACGACGAAGGGACAGATCCGTGACCTTCTTTCCCCGGACAGTATAACCGAGGACACTGATCTAGTTTTGGCGAACGCAGTTTACTTCAAACGCCTCTGGCAGAGTCGTTTCGATCCTGCCGAGTCCAAGAAAGATCTGTTCTACAGCTCTGGCTCACAGAATTCCATGGTGACGTTCATGCGGCAAAAGGGGACCTTCAATCATCGTAAGTCGAATGGTTACAATCATAGTCATAAAATATCACAATAGAATCGCCATCGTTTGAATTTTAGACATCTCAAACGCCCTTAAACGATTTAAAACGCTCTCGAAAACGAATTTCGGGCCAACTCAATAACAAAAAGTACTGGCTATACCCAGTATACAAATTTAAACTTATTTCCAATTAAATAGACAATCTATAATTCAGGGTTCATCGCGTACCGGTTAAATAATCAATAGAAATTGCCGGAGCTGTTTTGGGTAAATAGCGTCAAATTAGACTTTAAAATAAACATAGAAGATAGCATATATAATAATAGTTGGTATAGTCGTCGAGTAGAGGGTGAAGAGCCCTTTAGAATGAAATTTGTTTCAAGTCGATATCGCATTTAGTTCCGGAGATATTAGGTTTCGAAGCATTTGAATGCATTTCATTGATAGGTACGGGACCCTCCAAATTCTGGGAAATGCGTACGCACTTGTAGTAAACAGAGAATACGGGCAAGCACTATGCGCAACTGATCACTGCGCAGGCCATGTGATTGGGGTAGGTTAGCACGATGCATCTGCGAGAAAGAGGTTAGACGCGTTAGACGGAGACAGGGATAGTCGGATTACAAAAATTACGATATCTTCAAAACGGGAAGTCGGATCGACAAAATCCAAAAGCCATTTTAAAGGGGAGGCTTTACCGCTTCTAACAGTGGCTCAATAATGGATAAAACACTAGTAGTTTCGAAACTCCACTCGTCTAAAGTTAGAGTACTTTCAATTCACGTTTCTAGACTGTTTATTAAAACAATTCGGATAATTTGGTAGGTAATAATCCTGTTAAATGTTTTCGAGGGTAGAGCCTCAAATATCATATTTGTTGAAGGTTTTAGCCAAGATAAAAGATGGTCAAACAGAAACTATATTCAAAATATGGTACCAACTACGAATTATAAAATGAATTTGTCAATTTATATTCAATTTACTGTTAAAAGGTTTCAAGTAAAGATCACTACAACGTCATCTAAAGAATCTACACATTTTCGTCATTTACCAAGAAGTCCAAGAGATCCGAGGGAGGGGGTGAATTTTGGTTCTTTAAACACCGTGTTTTCTTTGCAGTGATTTCCGAGATACTTGGCGCGCATGTACTGGAGCTTCCTTACAAGGGCGAGGATGTATCGATGTTCGTGATGCTCCCTCCGTTCGCCACCGCGAGGGCCGTGAACGGCGCCGACGGTGCCGACGGGGATGGCGTTCGTCAACTGATCGAACGTATTTCCACCGACGAGGGTTCCGCGGAGCTTCGTCATATTCTAAATTACGGTGTCCCAGCACGGGACGTGGAGGTCTTCCTGCCGCGATTCGAGATCGAGAGGGAGCTTCCGTTGGGCACGTTGCTTAACGCGTTGGGCGCGGGAGAGTTGATGGTTCCGAACGCGGCCGATCTCCGGGGATTCCTCGAAGACGGGGAGAAACCGTTGCACCTGGGCGACGCGGTTCACCGCGCGCGAATCGAAGTCACCGAAGAGGGCACCACCGCAGCAGCCGCGACCGCCTTGTTCATGTTCCGTTCGGGCAGGCCGCTGCAGCCCGCCATTTTTAACGCGAATCACCCGTTCCTCTACTTGATCTACGACAAACCGATGCGCACGATCCTCTTCAGCGGGATCTATCGCGCGCCCAATCCGCCGCAGAACAACGCGCAGACTGGCGCTTAATATGTTTGAGTCAGCGTGATTTTCGTCGTTCCTCGTTTGCCCTTTGTGTGTTCCGAAGCGAGTGCAAGGTGGAAGCGTGCGAGAGCTTTGTGTGCACGTGTATCGTAGTCCTCTCGGAAGAAAAGCTATGGAAGTTAGGCGACCAGGCACCGATCTATCGATCGGGGCACCATTTCGGTTTGGACGCGTGATGTTTTTGTCAGTGACGGTTGGTGAACGTTTATAGCGACGATAGAGGTACTTTATTCAGGCTTTTATTTCATTTTTTTCCTGCAATTGTGGGCTTGAAAATGTTATACTCTGTATTCCACTGGATTATTTCCTCGTTATTCATTTTCAAATTAAATGGGGGAAAAAGAAAGATATTAACCCTGACGATAATGATAATAAAGGCTATAACAACGTTAATGTCACTAATTTGCGTTCTTGTTATGGAAAAAATAAGTATGAACTTTAATTTTATTTCTTCGTCTCTGAAGATGAAAGGATGCCCCGGGTCCATGATAAATTGATCACAATTTGCACTCGACGTCAGGGATCTTGATAATTCATCTTTGTTTTAGTTTCGTTAGGGTTTGAAACTCTTTTGCAAATATTTGTTATGGATGTATTAACTTTGAAGATTCTTTATGAATTGTTTCTAATCGTAAAAATTGTTTATAAGTTTACAAAGTATCGATCGATTCTCTGTAAACTGATTAAGAGTTCGTGAACGTGTCTTAAATTTTTTAATTCGTTCCGAGTTTGTTATAAATTGATACATTTTTTAGAAACGTACAAATTTGACATTTTGTTATATATTTATAAATATCTTTAAATTCATTAGTATTATCATATTCTATAAATTTCTTACGACGTTATGAACTTGACAAACGTTTTGTAAGTTTATCAGCGTCGTATTAATTGTCACGATCATTTGTTAGAAATAAATGAATTTCGAAGCTTACGAAACAGGTTAGTACGATAGAACGTATTACGTAAATTGGTTAAAAATAATCAATCGATACCTTAATTCCCTTAATAATCTATCTTGCTCTGGATGCCAAACATTTAAAAACGTTTTGGCTCGTTCGTAACACGCAACCAATGAATCAGGCGTGAGCGAACATGTTCATCCGAGTTGGACAACATTATCGAGAGTGGTTTGTGTGTTGGATGCGTGACAAGTTCAGAAACTGGCATGATCGTTTGGTTAGAGCAGAAAAGGAGGAAACCTTCTGGATTCTGAATAATTATAGAAACGCTCATTGACGTACGATTGTCGTAATAAACCATTTATTATTAAACATTTCCCTCTGTTTGTGACCATCTTAAGAAACGTACAAATCGATATCTATACTTAAAAGGAAGGCATAAATAATACGACGAGAAAATTATCGAACGGAAAGAAATTTTTGTATGTTTAGACTAGTCGAAATATAAAATAAAGACGATGACGATCGTTGCTTGTAAAATGAAAGAATGTAGTGCAATGTAAGTGTAAGACGTCATAAAATTAACGATAAGTAAATCATTTATAGTCACGAACGTTTAGGAAGTTTCCCTTTCCTTTCGAAGAGACTCGTGGTTAGAGGTTAAACGTTAGATAAAAATTAAATTTCAATAAGAAAAAGTAAGAAATCTTAGTATTTATTCTTCGACAGAAAAGAAAAGAAAAATTTACCTCTAAATTATACCTTTAATTCCCACAAAAATTTGTGATATTTCACCGATATGGTTTGGGAAGCATTACTGTAAACGTTGATCGGTGCTTTGTAATAAATAAAAGCCCAATAAATTGAAAGGTGAATATCAGTATTTCGGTATAGCTTCGTTGGCATAATATTGATATAAAAATCGGTACGTTTCCTTGATCGACGAACAATAAATCAGACTCGACCGGCAAGTAGCGCCTCCGTCGGTCGCGTTTGGAAGCGGCGCTGGGTCCTCGGGGCCCGCGGTCCCATTCACCGGCGGTCTGACGTCATCGGGGCCCGCCGAGGTCCCCGATGAACGTTCGCGCGCGCGCGGCTGTCGACCGTTAGCCGGTAGTGTCCGCAGAACTCGATCCTACGGGGCAGAATCTGACATCTGGTTGCGTCACGCGTCGATACAAGCGAACGGGCACACGGACGCTCGTTCGCGAATGAACGAACGGCTCTCTCGGGGCCTGCCGACGCCGGGGATCATCCGAGTCCTGTGTCTGGCAGTCCTTGACGCAGGCCTCGATCTCGCCGAGAGATGAGCAAACCCGAGATCCGTGAGAGATTCGACGCGCTTCCTCGATGGAACGACTCCGTCGACCAGTTTGATCGCTCGCGAACGGTATTGCGCTTACTACGGAATCTTCGTCGATCGATCTCCGCGCTAGGCTTCGTTTTCTTTTTTTATTTTTCTCCTTCTGCCTCTTCGCTTCATCCTGGACGGGCTTATCGCCCTACCAACGAAGACGCAAGTTTTCTCGCTGTCGAGGAAGCCGAGCGAAGGTCATCCTCGTCGATCGCGTTTCCGCGACGGTTCGACGGATCGTCGTCGGGCTTATCGAAGCGGCTCGGTCGGTTTTCTCTTCTATTTTTATCCGGCGCGTTGACGCGAGATGCGATTCCGATTAACGGACGCCGGAAACCACGCAAACCGGGTTACTCGTAACGTTGTTACTATTAAATTGTAACTTTTCTTTTTACAAATTTTTAAAATCTAATAAATTCTTTTTTCCAACGTATCGCGTACGTATAATGCTCATCGAATCACACCACTTTAGTATATTGATTTTTCTATGTTCCATCGTATAAGATCAAAGAGTTTGCTTTAAGTGCTGTGTGAGAAATGAAATAGAGTGCTCTAAATTCTAATTTAGTTACCGTCGAAGCTGGAGCCTGAAATGATTTTCACTGACATTTTGGATATGAAATAAACGGCAATTTGCCCCGAAATTGTTGATACGTTTAAAATTCTAAAATAGATAATTCACATAGACGCCGAAGGTTTCTGAAATCGAACTACAATTACTTCCCTCTACGGAGAGGGGAAAAAATATGTCTTTGATTCACCGCCTTTCCAGCAACTATACCTTAAGTGGCTATTTCACCGTAGCAAGATTAATCTTGTCGAATAAATTTGTCACTCGATAGGTGAACGTTCAATCGCGATTATCTTACCGGTAATTACGCGTGCATTGACTCAATGCATACACTCGAACTGCCGCTCGGACATTTTGTTCATTCATCCTCGATGGCAAAGTATGCTGTTACCGCGTCGACATTCTCGAATGGATTTTTGGATCATTTTTCTGAAAAACGACTTTCTAAATGCCTGAAAATTTTCAAATTTAAATGAAACAAACACCGCCATGAAGACGTTACGACGAATATAAAACTGCTAATTACACATCGCGTCAGCGTCTGGACAAATGTTAATGATCTCGAAGTACGTCGGGGGCGGAAGATCATCGAGTAACTTCGATCCATGATTACGGGTTGCTAGTCGCATCTAGTTCTGAAGTTCCAGGCATTCAAATGCAAAAGAAATATAATTGGCAGCTACAAATTTTACTTCGATGTCAGAAATGTTTATTCGTCATTATTGTTTTGATCTTAGACCCAGACCTAACCTAGACCACTACTTTTTGCTACGGAGCACTTATGAACCTCTCTCCTTTGGCACACTTTAACACCACTGAAATCGTCGAGGTCGTTAACATTGTAAATAATGACCATACAAATTTTAATTTTCAACCGTCGATGAAATTCGATCTGGCGCGCGGGAAGCGTCGTTCCCGGTGGTTTTTCTTCGCGTAATCGCCGCGCAGTGGTACGAATCGCGAAAAGAAAGATGCAAAATCATCGTGCTAATCAGGCTATCATTTTTCATTACAAAAGTGATGAATCTCGCCGATATTTTCTAAATAATATATAGGATTGCAAATAATACAAGGAAATATACATTAACTCTTCGTAATCTACATTTTTTAAGTCTAATTTAATTCTACTACAAATATGTTTTACGATATCTTATATAAGAGTGGGTACAATTAAAAATTTACCTTTCAATTTATATACCATCGTTTACTAATAATTTCGATCATAGAGGTTTGAATTATTTGATCGACAGTATGGATATTGAATTTTGTTGTTCTTTTTTAAATCCTGCAGTCACAAATATGTCGATAAACCGCGGCAACAGCGCGCGAACAATTCTTGTCCCCGTCGTCCTTGCAATCGTACGATTCCCGCGCAAAGACACGTGACGCGTTACCTCGTGTTTTTCATAAATCCGATTTCTGGGTTACCGATCCCTTCGAGGGATTAACAAATGGGTCCGGCACGACCGGCCGTTTATGAGTAATCTCGCGCGATCCAGCGTCCAGATAACGTTCAATTTGAAAAAGCATCCGCTCTAACGATCGCCAGATAAAATTCTAACGGAGCCTCGGCGTTGATCGGGCAACCTTGACAGTCTCGGTAAACGTGGAAACATTGTTAAGGTTTCCCTAGATACTTTCACTTTCCTTCCTCCTTTTTCGCGGCAAGTGCACAAGCCCGTTGCAAAGATCAGCGAACACGTGCTTCCACGCTTAGACGATCTAACGGTAAACCCAAGTGATTTCGTTTCCATCGAAATCGGTTCCGGTCTCGACCGTTACTGACCCTCCTTTTCGCTTGCTACAGGGTGTTCCTGATCGTTATGATCGCTATCGTTCGATTACCAGTTCTCTTTCGCTAATTAAGAAATCTCCTCGATAAACTTTCAACGTCCTTTTAACCTTACCGTTCCTCTCGAGTTTATACGCCCTAAATCGCGTATCGTTCAGTTATAAAATATATAACGTGTCGTTTCTATACAGGGATATTCCAAAATCGTGGTTGCACCGAAAAGGCGACGAAAATATAAAATTTCCTTCCCCCATTTTCAGAGGGGTCTCACAATATTGTAATTGGTCTTTCTTGTGGCACGTATAGTTCTTTGGATATTTGCAATTTTTATTTCAAAAAATCTCTATAACGTGTCGTTTCTATACAGGGTTATTCCAAAATCCTGGTTGCACCGAAAAGGCGACGAAAATATAAAATTTCTTTCCCCCATTTTCAGAGGGATCTCACAATATTGTAATTGGTCTTTCTTGTGGCACGTATAGTTCTTTGGATATTTGCAATTTTTATTTCAAAAAATTTCTATAACGTGTCGTTTCTATACAGGGATATTCCAAAATCGTGGTTACACCCAAAAGGCGACGAAAATATAAAATTTCCTTTCCCCATTTTCAGAGGGGTCTCACAATATTGTAATTGGTCTTTCTTGTGGCACGGCTAGTTCTTTGGATATTTGCAATTTTTATTTAAAAAAATCTCTATAACGTGTCGTTTCTATACAAGTTTATTCCAAAATCGTGGTTGCACTGATAAGGCGACGAAACTATAAAATTTTTTGCCCCCCATTCGTGATCAGCATCTTTCG